CTCCATCTCAAATCCTCTTCTACTCTTCTCTCCTCTCTCCTCTTTGCTCTTCTTCTGTGTGTAAGGTTTAATTGCTCTCGTAATTCTCTGAGCCGCGTTGAAACGATTTCGGGGGGGGGGGGCCCATTGTCCATAGAAAGCAAAACGAAAGCTTCCGAAAAAGAAACCCCGAAAAACTATGTTAAGCATTTACACGTGCCGCTTGCCACACAAGAGATCCATCCATCCATCGAGTGGGGGCCATGCGGATGCTCTACAAAATTGCCGGTGATCGGATCGCCCTGGTAATCGATCGATCGATTGTGGGAAGCTCTCCAGAGCCAAGAGACATAAGTTGGCGCTGAAGAGCGTTTCAATAAGTCAGATGAGATGCGATGAGATGAGGTTAAGATCCATGGGAAGATCGTCCAAACGAATCGATTGCTGTGGGCAGTGGATGGGGCATGTATAGAAGATGGGAATTGGGCAGAAATTGTTGAAGGAATTAGCAGGTGAGACGATCTTGGTAGATGGACTTCAAATCCAAAGAAATCGAGGAATGATTACGAGGAATCAGCTTGGAGAATGATGGATTTGGGAAATACTTCAAGGCATAGTCCTTGGAAATGGGAAAAACTTCCCACATTTCTTCCCCTTCCCCTGCTTCTTGCAGCCATAATTATAGGGCATACGACCCCCAAAAATGACACACGAATTCCTCAATGGGTGAGTGGGATAGATTGCTTTCGGCTCCAAGATCCAAGCTCTGTTGTCTGTAAATTGAACAAATGAAACATTTCTCGAGCTGCACACGAAATAAATCTCAAGAGGTGGCAGTGGCAGAGGCGGCGGTGGCACACACAAGACCCAACAACAAACAACAACCGAAAAGTCAAACAACGCACATAACTCGAAGGGAAACCAAAGCCAAATCAAACCCAAAAGAAAAGCAAAGAAAAGAAAACGAAATGCGAGAAAAAGTGGCGACAAAATGCGAGTAATAATACAAAATTTCATGATTATTACGGGGCCCCTCTCTCCCTCCTCCGGCCCCCAAGAAAAAAAAAGGTGTCATTGCAGGTGAGAAACGAGAGCACACGCGTATGCCCCGTCCCGGCCCCCCACCGCACCCCCCGTGGACCCCGTGTAGACGGTGCCCCATGGCTCCCTCCCAGCCCATCATCGAAGCTAATTTGTTCTCTTTTTCGACTGTACATTTTTTTTTTGTATGTGTGGCATGCAACGTCGCCCCCACCCCCAAGGCCTACGCCTAGCCCCTCGACTAGTATTTCCCCCCCTGGAAAAATACAAAAAAAAAACCAGAAAGAAACATTTTTTTCTGAGACTCTTTTGTTTGCGTTTCCATCAATGAATTTATGATGGTACTCCCCTCTGCCGCTCACCATTCCCCCCACCGTTCCCCCACCATTCCCCCGCCGTTCCCCCCACCATTCCCCCTCTCCCTCACACATTCCGACTTCTCTCTTTCACACTCTTTCATGTGCTAACCGTTAGATTGCTTTTTTTTCACTGGTTTTCGTTTTTAATTTATCATTTTTACCATCGCTTCTTGTTTTTTTTTGTTCCTTCCTTTCGTTAATTCATAAATTATAATGCCACAATATTTGTTGGATCGCCGGGAGGGGGCGGTGGGAAGGGGGGGAGGGGCAATGTTGGTCAATTGCTTGTCGGGGGACATTTATGGGCATAAATTATTCTTTGGATTGTAAATTTCTAGAAAATGTTAAATTAAAAGTTATTTATTGTATTTGATTTGCTTTACGTGCTCTGTGTATGAAATACTGTCGGGATTGGAGTGCGAGTACGACACAAAAGTCTTGCATGGCATGGAGCGGGCCGGGGCGGGGCGAGCGGGGCGGGGGCAGTTGTGGAACAAGTCATTAGCGAGCGGTGGGGCGGAGGTGGAGCAGGAATGTGACCGGAAATGGGTCGGTCGGTGTGGAGAAGGAGACGGGGCAGGGATTTGCGAAGAGACGTTGAACAGATTTCCCATGGAAATACTCGTAATACTCCAAGAGATCTTAAGATTGTTCTAAAGAACATATAGATCAGAATCAGCCTTCAGTCTTTAATCTTCTGACACGACATTCCGTAAATTCTGTACCGAAAACTGTGGGAAAAGTTATCTAAAATGCTCGAAAATCCTTCCTAAAGCCGACCATCTACAAAAGGATTCTCTGCCAAGGTGGCGATTGCTCAAAAATCACTGAAAACATAGATATTCCATTAAAAGAGCTCACAGATTTTGGAGGATCCCAAATCCCAATCGAAATGTCACGAAATGAGTCCTTTAAAGGTCCTTTAAAGCTCTGCCAAAAGTCATCAGCATTCGCATAAACATTTTTGGGGGCAACAGTCCCCTGAAAGCCCCCAAACACCGAACCAAAAGCTGTCCCTAAACGTTTTCTCAATGTTAATTAGAAATTTCCAATATTGGTAATAACCTCCTGCCAGCGCCACCGCCACCGCCCCCGCCACCGCCACCGCCCCTGCCCCCCAGCCATTCCGAGTGTCACTGCACCCCACCTTAATATTTATCCTGCCATCAAAGCGAAAGCCATCATCATAGATATCCTCCCGAGCCCCTATCTCCTATAGGAATCTACATATATGCATGCATATATGATGATGTTTTAGGGGCGTGGCCAGTGTCTCGTGCCACGTGCCCCGCGCCCCGTGCCCCGTGCCCCCTCCACAGCCAGTTAGCCATTTAATGGCTTGTCTAATATCCCATATCCTTTAACTGCCATCGACGGCCATTAAAAAGCATAAAGTCATTTGGTAATTAATTTTCATGTTTGGGCTCTCCGTTCGCCGTTCGCCGTTCGCCGTACGCCGTTCTCCGGGACGGAACCGCCAGGAACAGCCAGGAACAACCAGGGAAACAGGGAATCTATCCATGGGATCCATTGGATGTGGATGATAGCAGGGGTTGCCTCTGAATGGCAGAAGTGGTGGCAATTTCTTCAACCAAATGAGGAGCCATCCCGTCCAGCCCGCCCCCCACACACGAGACCCCCCACCCCCCAATGGCAATGCATGTGTGTAGCCTGCATCCGACATCCACCATCCGCCATTCGCATTCGTATTCGCACATAAACAAACACGAATACCGATTACCGAATACTGGATACTGAATACCGAATACCGAATACTATGGGAAAAACGCGCCAAACATGTCCTACCTTCATGGGATTTCCAGTGCGCACGTCAGGACGATGCTGCCTGCTGCTGCTGCCTGCTGCCCGATGCCCACTCCCCCTCCGATGTTGGGGCTATGTTGATGCTGCTGCAGTTTCTGTATATGTGCGTCGGTGATGCCGGGCTCCAGCATCCTTCCAGCTTCCATTACTACGAGAATTTTTACTACGTTTTATCGATCCAACGAGATGTATATAGTATATATATCTCTCCCTCTCCCTCTCTCTCCCACTCCCTCTCTCTCTCTCTGTCTATGTGTTGTTCTCTCTCTCGTTTTGTGTATCCATATGCCGGCACGCGACTGAGACTGAAACTGCTGAAACGATTGCTGCTGTACGCCCAGCCAGAAAAAGAGCAGGACCCAAAAAGGACGAGACCCGAAGCGACGAACACCAGGCTCGGGATCTCCATCGTCGATGGGCGGGCGGGCTGTGTCGAGGAGGAGTCGCATTGGGCGAGGCCACATCAAAAGAGCACCACATCTCGAAGGAGGAGACGATGCAGGATGCTGGATGGCAGCATAGCTCTCGTTTCACTTTCCACTTGATTCCTTGCGCTTGACAGCCAAAACGAAGCTCAAAGGGAGGAGCAAAGAGGGGGAGCCACGAGCCGGGAGGCTGCTGCTTGCGTGTGTGTGTGTGTGTGTGTGTGTGCGTGTGTTGCAAGGATGCAAGTAGCTCTTCGGCTGTGCTCCCTTGTGGAACACAGGACTCGACTCGACTCGACTCTCTCTCTCTCTGGCCCTCGCTCTCTATCGCCGTGTCTGTCCCTTTCGCGGCCATTGACCTCTGATGTCAAACAAAATCGGCGCGCACTTATTATATAGCGCTAGAAAACGGCGTAGGGGGGCAACGCTGCAGAGGGGGAGGGAGGGGCACAGAAGGGACACTCGACCACGGTCCAAGAGAGGGGGTGGCGGAGTGGTCAGGTTGCAGGTTTTGAGTGGATTCCCGGATTGGATTTTGTGGTACTACCGGCCGCGACCCCCCCCCCCCCCCCTTGCCCTCACCCCCCTGCCTACCCCTGGCTGCCACCAGAGTTTGTTTTGTTGTGTAAATTACGTTATTTACGTGGGATATTGTGGAGCGGCAAGTGGCAAGTGGCAAGCGGCAAGCGGCGGTGCAGAGAGTTTCAGGTTGCTTTTGTTGCATGTTTGAAGGGACTCTTAAATTGGATGCCGCCATAGCTACATAGCTAAATGGAGAAGGAAGCAACAAATTGGAAATTGTTGCAACTACTAGAAGGGCAGTGCAGTGCAGGGCTTTTCCAAATGAAACCAAAGTGTTTATGTTTTGTTTGTGGATCAATTTTGGGTGGAATTACGGGGATATACATACATAAATACATATACTTGTGTATAGGATTGATTGATTGCTGCAGGGTATTGATATTGAACTGTTTACAGGGTGTCCATAAAATATATAGCAAATATTTCTTCAGCATCAATATCCGAATCAGATTTGATTATATGATAAATGCTAATCACACAGTTAGTAACAAGTGTGCCCCCTTTCGCACCCCACCAAGAGCGGGGGGAATGAATAATTTTTGCGATTTCGCGGGCACTTTTGAATATTGAGTTTTACATTTACACCCAAAAGTAGGCTACATGGCATCTACATTCAGCACGACAGTAGTATGTAAAGTAGGTTCGAGTCTTGGCTGGCTAATGGGTTCTAGACACGACTAACAGTTTGATTAAAACTGTACCAGTTACTCCTAAACTGTTACTCCCAAAAATCAAACAAAGCGAGAGAGTAATATGATCAAAATACATTTATTACATTAGTAAGAGACAAAAAAAAATGGGTACACAAACGTCTTAAGAATATCAAACTAAGAATTAATTTCCAGTGAGATTCGCCTCAAAAACTGGACAAAGGCACAGAGTTCTCGCAGGTATCCTCATCGCTGAAGGAAGAAAAATATGAATCAGGATTTGGTGGGAATTCATAGATTATCGATTATCGATTATCGAATCACTCACTTATCGATGCGTCGCAGGAAGTTCTGGATCTGCTGGTTCTTGCCGATCAGCGCATAGAGTGCCGCGAACCCATGGAAGGCCATGCAGAAGCAAACGGCATAGTTGTGCAGCGAACGCTCCCCCCGGTAGTAGTTGAATGCGAAGGAGCAGACGCACACGAGCCACACGAGGGCCGTGTAGCCGAAGTACTTCCAGAAGGACTTGAAGCGGTTCTTCTCGATCGACTCGAAGCTCTTTTCCGTCTCGATTTCGGGCTGTTCGCTGATGTAAATGAGGCTGAGAATATAGAAGAAACCGCTGATGGCACAGGCCACAAAAACTGGGGCGAACAGGTACACCATAATGCTCCAGTTGCGAGCTGTACAATTGATCGATTGATGATTAGATATGGGGTTAGATATGGATTTTCGGGGGTAAAAAGGATCTACGGCACTCACGATCGAACCAGCAAGTGTCGCCGCCAAACACCAGTCGCGAGCCGTAGTGACTGAAGCCCACAAAGAAGGACCATCCAATGGCGATCAGGACGATCGGTGTGAAGATCAGCCAGAACATGAGCTTCGTGAAGACGACGCCGTGGAAGCTCAGGTAGAGCTTGAAGGAAACAAAGCTCAGGATGTAGAAGGACAGCACCAGATACATGAGTGTCAAGCTAGCTAAAGATCGAAAAAGAGGAACTGTAGATCGGAGATCGGTGGAGAATCGAATGGATCTCACGTATGATGCGACACGCTGCCTTGGAGAGTGTGGCCGGGTTGTGGAGCGTGAGGTATCCGAGCAGGGCATATCCGATAATCAGGCAGATGGTGTAGGCCTTGATGGCCACACCATAGAAGCTGTTGCGCATCTCCGAGCACATGAGGTACACCACCAGCACAATGACCATGGATATAATGGATATCAAGAGACCTGCCAAGAGAAAGCACGCGAAAGAGAGAGCGAGTTAGGACTCTTCTGTTTTGGGGCCATTAATCTATCAATCGCCACAGGCAATTCACTTTTGTTATTCAAACAATCACTTTTATGAGCGTACTATTATATTGGAAACATATTTATGAGTGCGTGCGGCGGAGGAGGAGGAGGGAGCACTCACAGATGGCGTAGGTCCACTCGCGGACGCCCAGCACAAAGTGCAGCTTCTCGGGGGCACAGACCAGAGGCTGCCAGTCCCAGGAAAAGGAGGAGGCGGAGGCGTTGTGCAGCAGGAGAGGCGTGTAGCAATAGTGTTTGGAGAAGATGTGGCCACGATGGGCGATAGTGCCATTCTGAAAGATGGAGAGAGACAGAGAGAGAGAAGAGTGGAGTGGAGTGGAGTGCCAATAAGAAGAGCACGCCACCGAAAGAGAGAGAGGGAGAGAGTAGTACCTCGTGCAGTGTCCAATGGACATATTCGGAGCCTTTTGTCACTGGTTTCATGTGTCCACACGGCGTATCCACATAGATGCTGAAGCGAGAGCGTAGTTCCAGCTCCTGGAGGCTGCCATTCAGCATCTGCACCTCGAAGTGGGTCTGGCCGGGCGGAGGCTGATGGTCGATGGATGGGGTCAGGCACTGTCTCCTCTCCAAATCGTAGATCTCTCCTTCCGGGCAGCAGAAGCGAACACAGGGCTTCAGCTTGCAGACACAGCCCCGCAGATGCTTGGCAGCCGGCACTCGAATGCCGTTCTCGATGACAAAGTCGTAGGCGGCCACCAGGTTGCGGGGAATCACCGTCCAGTTGTGGACATACGAGCCGTCCGTCCCGAAGCTGCCCGTAATGTTGGCGGTGTCGATGAAGGCGCAGGGATACCGCATCTCCTCCTGGTAGCCCCAGGCGGTGGGCAGAAGGAGCGCCGCTCCCGCGAAGAGGACGAGGTACTGCGCCATCGGCAGAGACATTCTCTTCTGTGGCTGATCTTTCGGGAAAGAATCTGTTGATGCTTTTTTCTGTGTCTGTTTCTGTTTTTGTTTTGTTTATCCCACAGCTTTCAATTTATTCGTGTGTTTACCTCCACAGCGATTTCCCAATCGATTTGGATCGAATAAACGAACCGCAACGCAACGCGCCGCACCGCACCGAATCGAACCGAATCGAAAACAGATATACAATATAGAATATAGAATATAGAATATGGATAAATAATGCACTGATGACGTGTTTCAGAAGGAGGTGCACAAACGGTTTATTGAGTCGATTGAACTGGAGTGAACAGAACGGAACGGAACGAAACGGATCGATCTTTCATCTGCACCTGCCGCAGGCCGAACTTCGACTGAATATTTTGGAACGAATCGCCCAGCGAATGCGGCAGTGTGGCAGTGTGGTATGGAATCGAACGTCCAGACGAGGCGAGGTGGGGCGCTTCTGTGGCGGCCGGTAGGGGTGGCCGTGTGGCCCACACCCACTTTGAGGCGTTTTGTTTATGGCAAGAAAACGGGGAAAAAACGAAGACTAGCCAAAAGCCTAGACAAGGGCCACAGACATGTACGTATAATGGTTCCAGGAATACTCTTTAATTGAGTACAAGAGATATTTCGAAGGCCGAAACGAGCACAAAGCCATTGCGATTGTAATTGCCTCCAGACTTCAGACTCACTTCTTTGAAGGATTATTCAATGTCCAACGATAATCTCCAAATACATAGACCCCAAGTTGTGCCCCTACCATTTCTAGTAGCGTCTCCGCAGTTCGTTTTGTCTGAGGAGAGATTCAGCATAGAATAGAGCGAAAAGGATATATAGTCGCCGAAGAAGGAGGCCCTACACTCTATAGACATGGACTTGGACATAGACATGGATAAAGAAGCAGATACAGATACAAATAGAGAGACAGATACAGATACGGATACGGATAGATAGGGACAAGGATAACCGTTCTCAATTGCGTCATTAACGTAACATTTGTTGCGTGCCACTTGGCCGGTGGCTAATCCAACAATCCATCGCGACCCAACCCTTCGAAGGGTGGCCGTTACCCTTGCCCTTGCCCCCTGTCCCCTGTCCCCTGTCAGCGAGGAGTCAAGCAGAAGCAGTGTGAACGGACACAGGACATTTTGGGTGTAGTTTACGATTTGTGCTTTTGTTTGTGGAGTTGCTACTACAATTTGTCACTCCTTTGATGGGTCTACAACGAAGTGCGTCCTAGAAGAAAGGAGGGCCAAAGAAGGCCCAGATCTATTGAATACAAAACTATTTATCTTCATTATCTGCTCATTGGCCGTAAATCAATGAAATCTCATTTGAAACGCCTCATAAAAGTCCACAAAATGATGCACATTTGATGCACACTCGAACGGCTTGCACGATATATTACAGAATTTCGAGTTTATTCAACAAAAGCCTTAAGTTAATAGAGCAAGGGTAATTGCTTAATTCCTAGAAATGTACGTACGATACGATAGATATTCACACATTTGTTTGTGACGGTGTGTGTGTGGTGTGTGGTGTGGCACCTAAATGAATCAGAAGCGTAGCGAATACCAGACAGAGTTCATACGCAGATGAGCAATCATTCAATCTCTCTCTCAGTCTCTCAGTGTCGTCTACAATGATGTCACCGTTGGCTGATAGGGAGAATCTGCAATGGATCGAATGTTGATTGAGAACCGGAAAGGAGTTTGTGTGTGTGTTGCCCACCTGAGGACTTGAGATCACCCTTTTCGTTGAAATTGTAGACCCGTGCATTTATGACACTCAAATCGGTCTGACTGGACTCCCTGTGGGAAGAGAAAGCGAAAGCAAAGGATGGTTCTTTGAGGGTGTCTCTAATGGAGATGGGGCCGGGCCTGCTTACACATTGATGGCCCACCAGGACTTGACATGCATGTTCTTGCCCAGGAGCAGAATAAAGCCAGCGATGGCCAGGCCCAGGATACAAATGCCACTCCAGAAGTCAATGATGAAGAAATGCTCTCGCACACGAGCCATGATGTAGACCACGACCTCACGCAGCCAGACGGCAAAGACGCCCACCAAATAGGCACAAAACGCATAGAAACTGAAAGGAAAACGGAAGACATCAAAAGGATTTCCAGGAGCAGTCCTTGGAGATACACATGTCTGCTTATACGATGGTTCTTACTGGGTCTTGACGATGCGCAGCTGTGTGCCCAGTATGTATTGAGTGTCTGGTGGCAGTTCGTAGATGGAAAAGTAGGCCTTGAGGCAGCAGACGATACTGAAGATCAGCAGCAGGACAATGGGTGCATAATAGTAGACGAGAATGCCCCAAAGGCGCACTGAAACAAGAATGGAGAATCAACCGTCACGTGATACTGGTTAAGATAGGGAGGGCACCTCTGACTCACCATCGAACCAGCAATAGTCCTCGCCAATACCCGGCTTAAAGTGCTTGGGCAGGCTCGAGTCCTGGGCAAAGGATAGCACAAAACGCAGGCCCACAACCAGCACCACAGCCAGAAAATAGGACAGCCTGCGAAGCCAGTTCTTGCAGGGCTTCAAGCGGAACTTTTGCAGGAAATCGAAGCTACAAATCGCCAGAAAGACAAAGGACAGCATGATGCAGAAGTAGGCCAGCAAACCTGCAAGAGAAACCGGGATTAAAGTCCAACAGAAATCAAGGATAATGATGGGATTCTAACCGATGTTCCTGCAGGCCGAATGAGAAAGCTTCACGGGGTTCTTGAGGGCCAGGTAGACGAGCAGCGAGTAACCGACGATCATCGCGAGCAGATAGTAGATGATCACCTGTCCGTAGTGACTCTTCCGGGCATCGCGCACGGAACCCAGCAGCGACAGTATAAATATGTTGATCAAAATGGCAATGATGCTGCCTGGAGGGGGAGAGACCGGTTAGTCGGAGATCAGATATCCCCAGGACAAGGACTACTCCTTACATATCGCATAGATCCACACCCGATAGCCCGTCTGGAAGCGCTCGCAGCTCAATGGCGTCAACTCCCATTCCTCGGCCTTGTGCTGCAGCGGACTGAAGCAGTACTCGTCGGTGCTCCACAGACGAGAGTCGCGCAGCAGAGATCCGTTCTCGAAGAGGTCCCACTGCCAGAAGGTCTCGTGCTTCTTGTCCACGAACTTGTTGCGGCACCCCAGCTCCGTGCGCACCACAAATCGATCGCTGATGCGCACCTGATCCACCGTCCGGTTGTCGTAGGTCAGCTCCACGTGGGTGATCTGGCGCTCCTGGTGCGGGGCCGTGCAGTTCCAGCCCTTGGCGTCGAACACCAGTCCCCGCGGACAGCAGAAGCTGATGCAGGGCTTCAGGAGGCAGACGCAGCCCCGCAGGTGCTTGGGGGCGCGGTACTCGACGCCGTCGATCACCTTGAAGCTGTACTCGGCCATCAGTTCCGGCGGAACGACGACTCCGGCGTACGAGTAGGAGCCATCCTTCAGCCGGAGTCCGTCCGTGATGTTCACGGTATCCGCGTACGCACACGGATTCGTCACGGTGGGAGTCTCCGCCGAAAGGGAGTGCTGTGCGGCCAGGCACACCAGCAACAGCGCCAGTTTGGGGATCGGAGATGTGGACATTGTTGTTGTTGGACCGCAGGAGAGATCTCTTTGGGTTTCTCGACTTGTTCTGCTGCGGATCTGACGTCACAATTAAATAAACAACAAATATGCGAGGCGATCGCTCTGTTCGATTCGGCCTTTTATGCAAGGCACAGAATACACTCACGCACACGCACACGAGCACGCAAAGCAGCACCAAAAAATAAAACAACAACAAAGCATACGAGTAAAATCAACAACAATCGGATTCAAAAATGACAAAACGACGACGCGACGTGCGACGTTGACGGCGTAGGTCTAAAAACGGCTGCGATTGCGACAACGACAACGAGCCCCAAAAAGAACAACCATACAACAACGACCGATCGACGGACAGACAGACAGACAGACAGGCAGCTCTCTCTCTCTCTCACTTTAGTAAACGACAAACCGGCAACCGCAACGACAACCACAACAACGACGGAGACCGCGAGAAGGCAGCAGCTCCATGCTGGCCAAGAATAAAAAACAGACTAACTGATTAGCAAGCCCCAAAACCCGTACAGACCAGACCACAGACCAGTCTCTGGGCACCTGTCCCCCCGCCCCCGCCACTGTCATCCACCTCCAAGCCAAAGCGAGCGCGCGATCAGCGAAACGAATCTCAACCGGCGCGACGGCCTCTTTTCATTCAAAATTCATTTCATTTTCTTGACGGCTACTTCTTAGCCAATCCAAACACCCACGAAACCCACCACTGTGGGTGGTGCAGGTAGGTGTCTTGGCTAAAAGCCAAAAAGGAAAGCTTTTTTCGCATGGAAAGCGATCGTTGGAATAGATATTGGATAGATAACGATATTTTATCAGATGTGGATCAAAGACCGAAGGATCATCATCATCATTTCCTTCATTTAAGTGAATACTCGTCCTTGTCGTTGTAGTTTTTGTTTTCTGTGTGTGAAAATCGTTACCGAAAATCCAACGTAAACACCAACTAAATCCCAAGTGAATTGCGGACAGATCTTTCAGTTTTATCTTTGGCTTTATTCGTGTGTTCAGGTTTAATTGTACCGAATATATTTCGTACTACAGAGACATGGAGCGTGGTAAGTACGTACATATATGCGAAAAAAAAAAATATATATATAATGAATGCAGATGCAGATGCAGATACAAATCTTAATTTCATCACCGCACATCGATATATATGTATATATGTGTATGTAGGTGTGGGGTGGTGGTGCTTTATCTGTGACTTACGGACTAGAGAGGCGAATAAGTAGTACAGTAGAGAGTACAGTGATCTCTGGAGGCGACACTAATTTCAGATACATAAATACTAGATATGGCGCTTCGAAGCGTGCTCTTACACTTAAAATATATCAGGTTGTTCGCGTTCTTTCTTGTTTGTTTGTTGGTTTCTTGGTCTGCCAGACATGGACATATATAGCATATAGCATATAGTATATAGAGATAGACAGAGAGAGTGGCCTAATGTGGGGGCGGGGGAGGGGTATCTGGGTTCCTCTTATAATAATGTCTTTTCATAAAGTACAATCTGAATATATATGGCGGCTGCTGTTCGATGTACATATATGTATCCCCAGATATAACTATTCGATGATGCTCTTGGCACGAGACGATGGCTTGGGGATGATCTCATCCGGTCATCGGGTCATCGGGTCATCCGGTGATCCGCTCCTCAGCGAAAGCTGGTCGTGCGCTGATGATGATCCACGCCGGCGGACTGTTGGCTAATCACCAGGGGCTTCTCCACCGAGGGCTTCTCCTGCAGCGACAGATTGGCCACGCTGCTCGATGTGGTCTTGGTGGAGTACTGGCTCTGACGTTGGGTGCTGCCATCGCGCACACTCGAGCATCTATGACGTCCATTGGGTGGGCAGCGAGGAGTAAATAACAGTGAACAAAAGACTGATTAGACGGGTTAATGGAGGAGTGTTAAATGTTTGGCAGATAGCCAGAAGCAGACACAGATACAGATACAGGTGCAGATTAGAGATAGAATCACAGAATACCATCACCGATAGACACAAAAAGAAGCGAATCACTCTGATTAGGCTTCAAGTAGTTAGATCGTTGGTTAGTCAGAGGGGAAAGAGAGGCAGAGAGATCCATTAGTGGTTGTCTTTTAGTTAGTCATTCCCCAATCCTCTACGGCTCTACGGCTCTACGGCTTTACCTTGGAATATGTTTTTTGTATGGGTTTATGGATGGATTTCTATTGGCCAACCTTTGGCCCAGTACTGGGACTGGCACTGGCACTGGCACTGGCACTGGCACCGGCATTGGCCTTCATTCGCAGCTTTCCTGGCAGTCCATTCGCATCCGAGTTGATTGACGTCGAATTGGTGGATGTCGAGCCATTCGATGGCGTTGGCTTCAACAGTCTTCGGGGTGCATCGATGGATGGATTGGATGGGGTTCGATTGGCGTTTGGACGGATTTACATAGATGGACACACATTATAGATGCAAACAAGAGTTACTTTTAGTTATTAGAGCTACGTTTAGCGAGTCTTTGAAGTGGATGTTTGTTTGTTTGTTAAGTTGTTCTTTGTGGCTAGGTTTTTGGCATTCGCTAACACTGCCTCATGCTTATGCCTCATGCCTCATGTGGCAGCAATAGTAGCATTAGCATTAGCATTAGCATTGGTTTGTTCGTGTTTGGGTGGTTCTGTGTTGGTGGGACTTGAGTTAGTCTGATGTTTGAAGCTGTAGCTGTTTTTGTTTCTGTTTTTGTAGCTGTTGAACTTGCTGTTAAGCAATACCGAAAGCGGTCTGGACAGGAGAGAGAGATCATAGCATCATTTAGGGTATCTATGTACATATCCATCTGTCGATCTTTCTATCCATATATCCATATATCTATCTATCTACGAGGTGCATGCAGGGGGCGGGGGGGAGTGTTAGTGTTACGTGTACATGGGGCCACAACACTCGAGCAGACGCTGCTTACTGTCATCGATGGGGCGGCCCACACTATACCGCATGGGAGTGCACACCACTGGTGGTGGTCGCGGCATTGGCGAACGCGTTGCGGATCACGACCAGCCGTCGGATGTGGCTGGAGGCGTCCATGAATCGCTGCCGCACCGAGAAATTGCTGCCGGCCATCGTTGTGTTTGTCTCTGTTTGACGCAGACTGCGCACGCGTATCGTTCTGGATGGGTGGGTAGGGGGGTAGGGGGGTACGGTAATGAGAGGTAAAAAACGAATGGAGAGGCACAACATACAGAACGGGGCACACGTGTGAGATTACAGAGATTACTGGGCTTTAGGCTTTGGTCAAAGGACGATTTCCTAATTGGAAACAAAAGGAAGACAAAAACAGGAGAGGAGAGGTGGACAGGACACGAGACACGACACACGACACGGGCACTCCGAGGACGCGGTCACTCACCTGTTGGTTATCAAGTGCTTGACCTTCTTCTTCATCACGAACAGCATGAAGATGAGGAAGCCCTGCATGGCATTGCACAGGTCCGAGATGTAGAAGATCTTCGACCACTTCTTGTCGTTGCCCACGAAATACGAGATGATCTCCGAGGACCAGGTGACGCCCATGATGAGGAACAGCCGCAGGAACAGTCCAAACCTAAGGCGGAGCAGGACACGCCGTGCGCTTTAGGGATGGAGTTGAATGGCAGGTGCGGGGCAGCCCCTTCACTTACTTGTCCTTTTCGGTGCGCAGATTCTTGGTGCTGTCCTCGCGGGCTATGATCCGGGCCATCTCCCGCTGCACGCCGTGGATCTTCACGGAGGTCATCACGAACATCACGGTGTTGGCCACAATGATGGCCAGAATGGGCCCAAAGAAGTAGATCATCGCGGACCAGTTGCGCATGTCCAGCCAGCAATATTGGCCCCCGCCGATGCCCGGCTTGAGGTCGGCCGGCCAGTCGGTCTGCTCCTGTGCGATCCACGTGAAGGCCAGGAAGATCAACGCCGCTCCCCAGGAGTACAGCGAGTAAAAGAGGAACCGCTTCTTCTCCTGGAATCGATTGATGCCCCGTGTGCCACGGAAATTGTGCCACAAGTCAAAGCTGATGACATTCAGCCAGAAAAAGGCCGACATGAAGCAGAAGTAGGCGGTGTATCCAAACACTTTGCAGGAGAAGTCGTCCGGATCGAGGTTCTTGAGGAGCAGAACGCAGCAGAGGGCCGTATAGCCGCTGGAGAGACCCATCAGATAGCACACGAGACTCTTTCCGTGCTGATTCCTCAGCTCGGGTATCAGCAGATAGACGGCGATGGTGAGCATCATAAAGGGAATGGAGAAGAGCATGGCTGCAAACGAGAGATGTCTCGATTAGTGGAGAACTCCAAGGGGAAATCGGGTTGAACTCTTACCGTACGCATTGATGATCTTCACTGTGGTGTGCTCCGTGTCTGTGTCGCAATTGGCCGGATTCAGGCTGTAGTAGAGATCCGTTTCGTTCACGTAGGACACCACCAGACAGAACTCGCTCTTGTTGATGTAGTTGTGATCGTCCAGACGGAGCATTGAGCCGTTCTGGAACAGCAGATAGTCATCGAAATCGTTGATCTCCGGCTGCAGGGAGAACATCTTGGGGCAGGGCCTGAAGCTCTGCACCGCAAACTGCTTGAAGATGTTCACCGACTGCGTGCTGCTGTTGTCGAAGGTCACATTCATCACGGGCTGTGGCCAGATCCTGGTGTCCGTGGTGTCGTTGTTGCACTCCTCCTTCTCGCTGTTGTACACCTGACCCCACGGACAGCAGATGTTCAGGCAGGCCTTCAGCCTGCAGATGCAGCCGCGCGGATGCCAGTCGACATCCACGCGCTCCACCAGGTCCTTGTAGATGTAGTTGTACTGGCCCACCAGGTGGCTGGGTATCAGCACTCCCTCGTACGAGTAGCTGCCGTTCGGGAAGGGCGTGTAGCCCGTGAGGTTCACGGTGTCGAAGAAGGTGCACGGGACGTGCAGGCCGTCGCGGATGTGGTAGATGTTGCGCTCATCGGGCATGGCGTACACCCCAAAGGACGTGCCCGGCAGCAGGCGGAAGACAACGAGGCACAGGACTCCCATGAGAGTCAGGCCGCAGTACAGGGATCCACCCCGTTGATGGACTTGCTTTGTCATTATGCTGGTTCTACAAGGGAGAAAGGAAAAGAAGGACTTAGATGTGCGTACACATTTGTTCTCTGGCTGATCTTTCTTAGAGCTACAGACCCAGTGTCATGGGGAGTGTCCCCCCTCTGCACATCCGTCCATCCTTCAAATGAAGGACACTCAAAGTAAATACCCCATAGCCATAGGAATATTTACCTTTTCGCTTAGTTAATGCCATACAAAATGAGGCCACTAATTTTGGTTAAGGGACTCATCATTCCAACCAATTAGTGAATCATCATCCCACAGGGACACCAGGACACAAGGACAACAGGTTACAGAGCAGGAAAGAGGAGCAGAAACTGGCACAGCCACAGGCACAGGAACAACAGGAGGAAAAGCAGGAAGGAGCAGCAAGGACAACGTCACATTCAATTAGCACCCAAACGAGTCCGGGGGGACACTCTGCCAATGCCCCTGCCACTGCCACTGCCGCCCTGTGTGCGTTCGTTCTCTCTGTGGGGCATCAATCATAAGGCCATGCCGCAAACATTTATGGATTCGTGTTAAATTGATACTAACTGCCGTCGTCGTCTGTCAATAGTCCTCCCACGCCTCCCACGCCTCCCACACCTCCCACCCCTCCTCACTCCTCCTCAGTCCTCCTCAGTCCTCTCTGTCTGATGTGTTTTTCCTGCTCTCCACTTTCAGCCTGGGCATTTTTCAAAGCGCTGCTAATGAGCCTGCCATAATTTCATTACAAATGCGAAAAGTTATACCCTCTGCAGTAAAATGTGTTCGCTATCTTATCGGTTGCATCATTAGTAGAGTGCCGGAGTGGCGGAGTGCTGGAGTGCCGGAGTGGCGGCGGGTATCCTAATTCATTGATCCGCTGATTGTTTGCCATCGATGGGGCCTGGCAGCAGGCAGCAGGCAGCAGGAGCGGGTAAGGGTAACCTGTGTGTGGCATTGACGGGCGCGTGGGCGTGGGCGTGGGCGTGGGCCCACAAAATTAGCATGAATTTATGGCTGGACGATGGAGCGGAGCAAACACATTAAACTCTGCCCCAAAAGGTGCTGCACGGAGGCAGGGGGTCAGCACTTATCTCTCCTGATGGAAAATTAGCATAATTAATCGTTAAGTACATGCCACTTGAGAGATTTCAACAGAATCGAATACACATACATACATTCCGGAATAAAAAACCCGAAGAGATTTGAATTTATTTGAAAAAGAATCAAACCATGTGGAGCATTCACGAAACATTGAAAACAATTGGCCATTAAATTGAATTATGGCCCAGCAAATCTCTCTACTCCAGATTTTTCCAATGCCAACAATTTCAAAAAAAAAAAAATAGCTATAATTCTTCCCGATCTTTCTTTCGGCTTTTTGTATATTTTAATTCGGGGCAAACAAATTTGATTCTGATTTCGACTGCGATTTCGATTTAGATTTAGATTTACCTGCGATTTGCAGTTCAAGCAAAGTCGTAATCGTCGCATCGTAGTACCGTGGTATCGTATCGGATGATGGGCGGAACTACTTAATATTCTGATCGGGGATTACGTACATTCCATGATTGGTTGATTGATTGATTGCCTGATACGCTGAATCATGGTAGTTTTTTCGTAATCGCCATGGAAGTGATTCTGGGAATGCCAAATGGGAACGGGGTGGCGGCATAGATTCGTAAATCTTTTTATAAATAGTGTTTATAAGGAGAATGGCGGGGCCTGCACCTTTTGATTACACACAGGCATATGCATCGTATGATTTGAGGGATCAGCGTCTCTGGTGACATCTGTTACAGTATTACCCAGAAATCATATGGGATAATGGGCTATTAAGGTATTGTAATGGATTGATGGTGCACGATGTGGCATAGATTGTTCGATTGTTCCAACTACAAACCGAACTGAAAGCCGAAGCCGAGGATCAGCTCAAAGAGATATTAAATGTTTTTGAATGATTTCATTAAAGGATTCCACTCAATGTTAGCCAAGAACTTTGTGACTAACATCATTACCAGCTTTCCAGAAGATAACCCAATCGTAGCTCTGATTGATTTCCGAGAGATAATATCGGTTAATGGCCTATAAATAACTCGAATGTTCTCAGCAGTGACACTCGATCGAAGGTTCTCTGAATACAAATACGAATGAAAAGTGAATGCGAATGCGAATGCGCATTGCGAATGCGAGTGAGTAGCTGTATGGAGTAGCTGTGCTGTTTGTGAATTTGTTGTGCTCGGGGCTCGGGGTATAAAAAAATGTCTTATTTGTGGTCGGTAACCGATAAGATAAAGCCACTTGGCCAACGCCACTCGCCTGCTAATAATGCCTGACAAAAGAATACGATCGACGGCTCTTATTTATATTATATGTACTCGTATATACACACGATTCTAGGAAAATATATGAACCATCTGATGGCTTCTCGGCGCTTGGCTTGGCCTGGCTTGGCGAAAATACTTACAGATGCTCCGCCAGGGACTTCCTCAGGCCAGTTGTGGTGTCTTTCGATTGGATGATTATCTGGTTGATTTTCACAATTTGGGGATTGTCCATGGTCAGTAGTAGTGGTAGTCGGGTGGTCGGGTAGTTGGGTAGTTGGGGAAGAGCAAAACAACAACAGGATGTGTGAGTCAAAGAGTCTTGTGCAGTGGCTGCGGTGGCGCCTCTGAATCACTTTCGACCAACTGTTTGATAGAACTACTCTTAAGCCCTGCCAAATGCCATTAAAAGCCCATTTCACTTAGCGAAATGTATGCGAGAAATCCCATTGGAAGATTTATCGCACACACAAAATTGTGTGTGTCACCATGGAAAATCGGCGTATGCTCAGATTATAACAATTCTCTCAAAATATGCACAACAAAAACACACACAAAAACAGACCCTCTTCCTGGTCGTCGCCGGTCGTCGGTCGTCGGTCGTCGGTCGTCGGTGGGGGTTATACCCAAAAAAAAAAAAATAACCATGCGACACGAAATGAATCCAAAAACTCACATAAATATTATGTACTACGTTTCATGCAAGTTTTTATTCAAAATGAATATCTTTTTGGGTTTTTATTATCACGTACATATGCCTCAGCGGCAATGGTTTTCTTTATTGGTTGTTGTTGTTGTTGTTGTTGTTTTTGCTGTTGCTCAAGTCTTATGTGCGGCGGCGACGACGGCGGTGGCGACGTATTCCCATTATCTTGTGGAGCGCCGCGGTTCGTATGTAAGACTAATCGGACCCACAGCCCATCGCCGTGGAAGACAGGAGAATTCGCTGAAGCCCATGGCAAAAAACCATTGCCACCACACTTGAAGGTGAACTGTGGGGAAAACCGTGGTCAAATTTGACGATTGGTTATCATCCGTCCGTTTGCCTTTTCAAACAAACACTTTTCAGAATACTTGTTGAATGGTGCTATATGGCTGACCCATTGACGGCTGTGTGGTGTGTGGATTCCTTTGGCTCTTTTCGTGCGAAAATTCCAACACCAAGTATTTTTAGACCCCTGGTCTGTAAACAAAGGCACGGGGAGCCCACCGAGCCAGCCACAAATTGATTGCCATTGGAGAGTGGGATGGCAAGTTTGCCAAATATTATTCCTTGATACTTGCCACACACTTCCACCGACACCAACACCAACACCAACACCACTCAACAGTCGACAGTCAACAGATACCGCCCTGAACTTGCCACTCGGCGCAAAAGATAAATGCTCTCTCGCTCATTAGCATCGATGATGGGGCGGGAGAAAGCTTTAGAATCAATTAAATGAATGGGGGGATACCCTGTCTGATATCGCGCACCAAACGATCATCGATTCCATAAATCAACTCGAACTAGAGAGATCTGTGAATGGTTTGTATTCAAATTTGTGTGCGGATACGCTGTCCAAATTCGATAAATTCTATTAATTCTCCTTATATTCGTATTATGTATTTCGTAATCATCTCTATAATTTACATCAATTTATACCGAATGAATTTTAAATTGAATGTGTTATTTCTATAAATATGTATGTTGTTCTTACCCTAGGCTTTCCTTATAGATATGGATATATAGAATGTACCTAAAATGCATATGAATTTCATTTCGAGGCTGTATCTAAATGATAGTTGTGGAATGTTGTTAAGTTTTTTAGCATCGAACAACAGCCGATTATTCATAATTTCTCGGCCCCAAACAGGGACTAGCTGCCTCCAGAGTACACTCGACCGATCCCAAAGAGAAACCCCCATTCGATCTATGAGTGTGCGTCGGAAACATGAGATTGAATGGAACCCTGCCTACCAAACACCATAGCCGCCGGCACCGTCACCGTCCGAACCGAACCCCAGGAGATTAATATGCTTGCTGGGAGTGAGTAATGTAATGGCTAGAGACCTGGGATTCGAGGCGAGAAAAATGGCTCCAGATAGCAGGGAAATACGGAGGAAATACAGCTGTAAAAACGCACCACAAAAGCATTTAACTAATTAATTGGTAATTGCATTTGGCTTATCGTGAAAATGCACAACGGGAGGGCAGTCAGGCAGGCAGCCAGAACCCCCACCCCAGAGCACCAATGCCCTTGGAACAACTCCCACATGCGTGATAGTGCAACTTTAATCGCAGTTCCACTTTAAAAATTGTATATTATTTGATTATATGTATACATATATCAAATTGCGATGGTGGGCTCTGCTTTGGATAAAAGATCTATTATATATAGAAACAGAGCAAAAACTGTTGGAAAATTGTAGCGAAATAAACAGACCTCTAAGCAAACAATAAACAATATTCCAAAGATGTTTCAACAGCGATATCCCCCCCAAGCGCCAAATGTGTGCAAAAGTATAAACAAATTCAAATTCAAATTCCCATTCCATGTCGATTCCCAGACGATGGGATTGTGTCTGTATGGTACAATACGATACGATACGATATGATGGGATAGTCAAGGTGAGATCTTCTCCAAAGGGTGTTCTTCTACCACTGCCAAAGCGATTCCAGCCTCAGTGACTCAATCAGAGTCTGGTGTGTGCAATGCATCGATTGCCGAACACAGTTGTTTTTTTTTTTTTTTGTTTTACTTATTTGTCATGCAATTAGCCAGGCTTTTGCAGGCGCGCTTTGATTTTCTTATCTGGAAAGCACTCTCCTCTCCTGGCAAGTAAATGGCTATAATTATATGGGGGGCATCGAGTGCGACGACACCTATCACCCTTCCCCTCCCATCCGTTGAACCAATCAAGTGAGTCACTTGACACCGCATGATCATAAATTCCACCATAGATCCTAGATCTACTTAAGCCATTTAAACGATCCACCACTTAATCCGTTCAGATATGATATATAAATGAGTTGCCATTAAATTATAAATATAAATTTCATTTCATTCAGGACCCAGCCCATAAATTATGCCAGATCTTTTGGCAGCATACAAAATTCTTTACGAAAGGCGGAAATATTTCGATATATTTTGTAAATGGAACGAAACTATTAAATGGAAATGCTGGGGAAATGCTTGAAGATTCGTTTCTGGGAAAGGCAGCATAGATTAATGATCAACAGATGATACGAGTACAGGTTCTGTAGACTTACCCCGAGATCTCAAGCTCTCAAGCGATGAATAATGAATGAATATTATAAATTTATTCAGCTCCAAAGTGTTGTTCGGGTTTTCCTTGTCCGTAGATCAGTGTATTTCTATCTATACCGACATATATATGTTGTAGATATAGCAATAACTGAACAAATAAATGAACCTCTTTGATTGAAGAGTGTTTTTGATGTTTTTGCTGGTTTTGTTGGCTTGAGTGTGCGAAAAAGTGGATTGACAAGTACCGGCAAAAATATACTTGTATTATCGGCACAAAAAACCAATAACGAAACTTGGTTTTGGGTCTTGGGGAATGGGGAATGGGGATGTTTCGTTCGAATCAGTCGGATCGGATGTGTTTTTTGTAGCAGGTTTTTCTTATGCAAATTGTTGTGCGACGGGAAGAGTCTGTGGCCTGTTCGCTCTCAAGGTGGGTAACCGCATAAAAGTTTTTGTACCTGGCCAACCTGGGGTTTCTCAAGAAATCCTCATAACCATAATGCCATAATGTGTATATCTGTACATATAGTGACCCGCCGATCGGCTATTTCTCACTCACACCCTCGAATACACAGGGAAAAAAAAGCACACACAAACTTCGACTTCGACTTCGAGTTCGGAGGGGGAATTGGAATTCCCACTAGAGTGGGTGTAAATATGCGAACATTCGACGATACTGTGGACACCGAACGAACCGGTTTGTAAGGTATAAATAAGTGCGGTTTAAGGCACAACACACTAGATTACAAATTAATTAACACTGGCAGTCGTAATTCCCATATTATGATTGTCTCTCTCGTGTCTTTATTATTTTGTATTATTTGTATTTTGTTTGGAGTTTCCATTCAGCCGCCGCTGCTCACTCACAACACTCCCACAGCCGTCAACGTCTCGTAGCGAAATGAACTCGAGGCGGGCCGAGCCGCGGACTGCAAAAATTAAAGGTAGGCAAGCAGCCGGACTGACTGACGGACGGATAACAGGGCCCCACTGTTCGGGGTCCCGCTGTTGGGTGCTCTGGCGCTGGCGCTGTCGCTGGCGCTAGCGCTCTGTTAAGCTTCCACGCTATAATTGAAATTTAAACAAAACAAAACCGAAATCTTTGTAGTGCATGATCGAGTGTGCCAGCCCAGCAGAAACAGTGGCTCGACTGTCTGCTGATTGTTTGTGCGCGAACAGAGCAATTATCGGACATCGGACATGAATGGGGACTTCTTGAACGGAGTGTGGAGTGGCGGAGTGGCCCCCGGGGGCAGTACGTACTTTGGCTGTTGTTTTGGGGATGGGATGTGACTCAAAGTGTGATCAACAATATGTCCAAACAGAGCGTATAATTAGCTGGAGCTTTTTTGGGCTAAGCTAGAGCAAAGCTCAATACCTAACGGTGGTTCAATCGAGTGTTGTGCTTGCTTTGTTTTGCTTTGGCTTTCGGTGACTTTGATCTTCGGAGAGAACAAAAGAAAGGGAGAGTGTGCGAAAGCTCCCAGTAATCATTACAGAAGAGATCGTAGGAACAGGAATGCGAATCAGATAAGCAGAGAGTAAGCTTGGAAAGCATTGACAGAAGAGAAACAGAGATAGAGATAGCACCACCACCTAACATAAAAACTCCTAGAGCTAGTGACTGAGAGATCATTGCAGAACAGAAAAGAGGTGCATATATACAACTATGTATTAAAGGAGGCGTTAACGAAGATTTAAGATACTCTGGACTCAAACAAAGATAGTGAGAGTGCGAGAAGGAACATTTTTATGACGGGTGTCATCACCCATAGAGCACGGCACATCTGTAGCATCTGCAAGGCGATACCCTTTGGCCCCTCTGTGGGATCTTCCCGGGGGGGGGTACTTTTCGACGTTGATATGCTTTGCTACTCACTTGCTGATACGAGAGAACTATGGGAACGAACCATACAACGCTTCGACCTTGAGCAAATTTAAGCAAACAAACGAAAATCCGCTTTCGAATTGTGAATCAGTTAAAGAATATATGTACATATGTATGTAGATTGTCCCCACTGGGTGGGACATGCTTTACAGTAGCGCTATAGAGCCACCAAAAAAGGAACCCAAATCCCACGTCTCGAATCGGGGAAAGCAAACATTAACACGTAGAGCTTTAAAAGCACACACACACAACTCTACAGAGATATTATATACATATGTATACATATGTATGTATATATATAGTCAAAACTAATAAGTACGGTACGTGTTCAGAGTCAGCTATAAACCAAAAGTCAGCCAAGTCCAAGCCCAAGTCCGTCGTCAATTACTATTCCAATGTCTATCCAGGGATGCGAATGGATCGCATGGGTTGCATAATGATAGACAGATACATACATATGTAGACCAGACCACCCCTTGGAACCGAACATTAACCACATCTATGGGGAGATTTTAGATGGTGATGGTACATTATATTGCAATTATTAAACGATCGAATGCGTTTAACGATTGGAACGTGCCCGGGGTGTGTTACGGTGACAGTGAAGCCTCCATGGTATTCCCCTTTGACGGACGAGATCTTGAGAGTTCATCGAAAGACAGAAGAAACTGGTTTCGTTTAGCATTGAGCCCGCGCGACACAAGTGCCGGCTACGACACATGTACACACTCGCCTAAGTACAAAAGATTCAGTACAAAACAATTGGAGATACCCCCGAAGAGACAACAAGCGACGACGACTGTGTCTGTGGGTTGAGCGAGACATTAAAATCGCATTATAATCATCGGGCGAACCGAACGAACAGTCGGGCAGCGCAGGCATCCCAAGGCTCTTCGGGAGCTCTACGAGCTCGAAGATTTTGTGGCTTTGCAAAGTTTTTAAGGGGCGGATACCAAACACACACACAGACACAGACACCGACACAGATACACCATGCAGAAGAAGACCTTGAACGAGTGCAAACATTAAGAGGGGGAATGGGGATGGGTATGGGTATGGGTATGCGTGTTCCTCCGCATTCCACAGAAAGATCTTAAGTGCTTCAGAATTTCTCTTAATGAACAAACACAAAGTTCAGGCTCTGGCTCATAGAAGGCTCTGGATCACACAATACACACTGCCCACTGCGCATAGGCTACATTGCTTACAAGACACGACCCCGAGTTACCCGGCAGATAAACGCGTAACTTATCGTTTGCTTAGCCCCCGCTAATATGTTGATTGTAGAATGCCGTTCGCTGGCAGTCGCAGTAGTGATAGCGGTTCGAATTGCCTTTAGATTCAAAAACTAACGCTCGTTTCTTTAGCATTAAGAACCCCTGGCAACACTACGTCCTCCCACTCGAACTCTCGGGCGGCGCTCTCTTCCGATCTCTTAGCTTAACATACGGCTGTTAATGGATTTCAATGCATCAACCACTGTTAAATTCCATGAACGTTAAATTCATTACCGAAACTCTGTTAAGTAACATAATGTTAAGAGTCGTATGAATTTAAGAAAGCTAATGCTTTCCGATTTTACCAGCATCAAAATGTTTCATGTGTGTATAAAAGTAATAAAAAACTTCCGTCATATGAAACCGTTCTTGTGTGGCTGCTACTTCGATTTACAGAGGCAGCAGCTTTCCAAAAGCTTGCAAAAGCTCGCAGGTAATGTAACAGCAGAATGTAGAGGTCTTATGTAGAGTTTACATATATTTTGGTACATACGTACATCAGTGCTGTGCTGCCATTTTAGCATATTTTCGACTAGGTCTAGCATTTTTTAAAGAGGAATTGGTTATACAAGTTTCAAAATGTTTATATATGCTGATAAGCATTTTTTTATATAAAGTATCGGAGTATAGTTTTCTGTGCAATTCGTGATGGCCTTCTGCCAAAGCTCCAATGCTCTCCATTTGTGTCATGTGCTGCGTGGCAGAAAAAAAAAACCAATAATATTTCGCCTAATTTGTAGCTTATTTAGTTTTGGTCTTAGCCAGTTGTAGCATATTTTTTTCGAGTCCAGCTGGTATTGACTCTGATATCTTTTCTGACAGCCCTGTTCGTAGATTGTTGGTGCCTTTGTTGTGTTGTTGTAGAGGTAGACTTTATGTAAATAACAACAGATGGCGCTGCCTGGACAGCTGTAGAATTCATGTAAAAAGAACATCAAAGTGGGATTTTGGGGCCCTAACGAATATAATTTTCGAAATGTATTATTTTTTTGTTAAATAATTCTTTTATAAATAATGCAATGACACAATTCTATTAAACAATTTTATAGTAAATTTGTTAATTGATTATCCCATTTCCCTTAATTTTTGATTGTGTCCCGAAACAGTAGTATATTTAAGGATCTGAGGATTTAAGGCAAATATAATTTCTACATAGCCAGTTTATTTGATAAGTACTCAACGCTTTTCTGAAAATAATAACCTTTAAACGTTTGTAAAACTCTACCAATTGATTGAATCACCTTTCAATAGTTGATTATACACATTTCGAATCCATTTCAGGTTAAATTTATAATTCCAGCAGGAGTGGAAAAATACACCTTATAAGACTGTTTCAACCTCAAAGAAAAACACCGAAATGTGCGTGATATGGACTATGTGATACCCAGTGACTGGAAAATAGAAAATATACTTAAAAAACAAGGCAAAGATACTCTGGGTGGATATACCTTGTCATACCTCAAAGAAGTAAGTACCAAATAATAGTAATCATGTATGTAGTTATGTGGTAATGTGTGAGGACATCTAATAATCAAATTAATGTCCCAAATGGGGCTAAGTGATTCCCCACATGACGTCCATGTATTATATATTGGTATATTTTAAAAGCCATTTAATGGGCCCTGCCATACATGTGACGGAGCACTGTCACAATGGAGTACGACTTGCCCAGGATATTGGCAAAGCTCGTCAGGGTTAGGCCCATGAAACCGCCGGCGGTGAAGAGGAACGGTCGATCCGCATTGATCATGAAGATGAGGAGAGTCCTCTTGAACTGAGCATCGAATTCGTGCCAATTGCAGCCAAAGGCGGAAGTCGATAGGGTTTTGCTCTGGAAATAAGAAGAATAAACCCACCTGAAAGAATAGATATGTGTATCATGGGAGTGCACCTGCTCAAAGACCTCGTTGCCGAACCAGCAGTAGAGGAATATCTGACACATGACGCCGCCGAAGAGGAAGTAGATGAGCACCGAGCTCCCGGAACCATCGCCCACCATCGCCTGGAAGGCGGTCATGGCCACCACCAGAAGCGACGACACAAACTGGAACAAGACGGGCAGGCGGTATATCTGCTCCAGTCGCTGACGCAAGCTGCAAGTGAATACAATTTTTCTCATGAACTTGCAGCAAAAACAGATGGATGCCATTACTTGATCAAGACGCTGTGGTACTTCACAATCGAAACCATCCAGATGTTGGGATCCACTTGGCGCTGAAGCACATCAAAGGCCATGTTGAGAATCTTGAGGTGCATGCATATCTGATTCATAAACAGCATGTTGACGTTGTCGATGGTCGGGATCCCACACGATATCCAGATAATGCTCAGGCCCATGTACAGATACTGGACGATGGGTGGCAGGAAGTGGGGCATGTGGACGCGATAGGGGAACCGCTTTCCGGCCAAATTATCCGGCACTGCACCAAAAAGCCATAAAGTGCTTTAAAATGGACTGCGGACTAGACTGGAGTGGACTCCAATCACTTACCAATCAGAAGCATGACCATGGCGAGCGTGGAGGAAAACACCACCAGGGAGAAGTAAAAGAGACAAACTACCTTATTCTCCACTTCCAGCTGATGGAAGGTCTCCCTCTGCCCGGGGGATAGAACGCAGGTTCTAGTGAGGTGTTTCAGCGTGAAAACTATCCGCCTAATGTCCTCGTAGTAGTAGAATGTGTTGAGAACCTGATGGGGGACTTAATGGATGGGGATTACAGCAGAAGCAGGCTCCAGCAACTCCTTACCTTGAACCAATACCCCACGTGGGTCAATGTCATCACCATATTCTGTGTCATGATATCCACATTGTCCCAATTGAGCACCAGATCGTAGATCTCCAAAACCACATAGCAGAAGAGCAACGGCAGTACCACTCCACTGACGACAAGGAGGCGGATGCTCTCGGCCTTGGTCTCCGGCTTCAGTCCGAAGAGGGGAAGTCCCGTCAATTGAGCGAGCCAGACATTCAGCTCGATGGATCCGATGCGGCCCTCGTCCACATCTGAGGGTCTGATCCGCTGAGTGAGTTCGCGTAGCCTTTCCATTTCGCAATGGGCTTGGCTTTCGTCTGGTAGAATCCTTTTATAGGTCGTCGCGGACACAGCCCGACATTGCGTGAAGAAGGTCATGAGGTCATGAGGAATTATAGGGTTCTGCTCATGGGATGGGGAGACACCAAAAAGTGCAAGGGAAGGGGCTTTTCAGCTTTATTGGTACCTATTCTTGACCTGAAACCCTGATGTATTCTAAAATATAAATCGTTACAAATGTAAAGTTGCTTGTGGAGAATAAAGCCCAAAGGAGAGGCTTTCCATCTCATGTCTTCTGGATTTTTTATTTTTATAAAAAAAGGGTTTACAAATAGTTTATGAGATTTATGAGGCTTATGAGTATTGTTAAAATATGGTTACTTACTACTCGCACTTTTTGGAGTAGTTCTTATAAAAATACTATTATTTGAAGAGGGAACTTCACTTATGCGATTGTTATTTTTGATAAAAATCCTATCTCAACGATTATTAGTAAGTAGTTAATAGTCGATTATTACCCTTAAGTAAACTTTCCGAAGGGGTGGGTCTGATTCTTAAATTTGTGTAGAGGCCTGCGAGGATGAGTTATCTCGCGGTTGTTTAGCTGTTGATCTTCCATTTATATGGCGACTGGCCTGGAATTTCATGCTTACGACACTCCGTGTGCTCCTTGAAAGATTCCTAGGAGAGGAAACAATCGTTAGAGGTTTAGTAGAAATAGAAAGCAGGCAGTTCTCCACGTGCAACAAAATTCCAACAAGACAAAACGAAAATAAGCCACCAAAAACCATGCTAAAAACAGAGCAGAAAGCGGAGCCACGTGGTTAAATTGTTAAAGCTTCATATAGATAAGACCAGAAAAGAGAACCTTAACCATGCTAGAGATCTAATCAATAAGTTTAAGTAGTTAACCGACACCAAAGTACAACAAAAGGTACCAACAAAATCAATCGCTTTACCTACAACCGTTGCGTCTCTTCGAGCGATATCTCTTCCTCGGAAACTTCATCGTCATTCCTTAACGGAGATATTTTTGTGATGAAACCCGATTATTTTCCCGATCTATAAACAGCTGAGCACAGATCACTTACCTTTCTCTGAATAACCTCAAGACACTGCGCTTCATCACGAACAGGAAAAAGATGATGATGCCCGTCGACCAGTTTAAGTAGTCGGCGACCAGAAAGACATTCTTCCATATGTCGTCGTCCTGCACCAAGTATGAGAGTATCTCCAGGCTCCAGTTCAGGCCCATGATGACAAACAGTCGCAGAAAGAAGCTATATCTGTGATTGGGACAAGCGTAGACAGAGGATAGTTGATACCTGCAATAATCTGTGGTAGCATTCTTACGTCTGTTTGTCGGAGTTAAGTTTCTGCTTTCTCTCCTGGCGATCGACAATGCTCTGCAGTTCGCGTTTCACCGCAACAATACGGATGGCCGTGAGAATGAACATGGTCACATTGAAAATGATCACAATCAACATCGGTCCAAAGAAGTATAACATGGCCGACCAGTCTTGAGCTACATGAGGTACAAAACACTGTGAATCATCTGAGCCCCAAACCAATAGCGAACCCACTCTTTATCCAACAGTTGTAGAAGCCGACACCAGGCATCCAGGGCTCATTCTCAGGAATATCCTCCACCAGGTGATCCACCATATAAATGACGGCAGTGAGGACGGTTGCCATTCCCCAGGCATAGACGTTGTACACAAGGAACACGTACTTCGGCCGGTACCGATTCACGCGGCTCACACTACAGCTGAACGTGGAATGGAGATTCCAGCTGATAACACTCAGCCACAGGAAGTTGGCCATCACGAAATAGTAGCCAATGTAGCCTACAGCGGGAGCAGAGTTAATGTTCGATTACTTCGGAACTAACATACGATCCGATCCGATCCGATCCGATCCGTAAGAATACCTGATGGCTTGCAAATGGCATTTGTCAGCTCCCAGAGGTCCATCAATAAGAAAAGGTACCCCATGAATAGACAACTCAGACAGCAAACGAAGCACTTTCCATGGAGATTCCGCAGCTTTTTCAGTTTGAGATAGACGGTGATCGTGCAGGCGAGACACACGAGGGTAAGAATGATCACTGAGGATAGGAACATACATAAATGAGATCAAAGATCGGAGAGGATTGGGACAGTGCTCACCAACTGTTTTCCCCGTCTTGCTATTCGACTTAATCGAGCAGTTGTGGGCAACAATCCGGAATGACTCCGTCTCGCCCTCTCTGAAGTCATACGCCTGAAGGCAGTATTCCCGCTTGCTCATCGTTGCACTGTCGTATGGTCGAAAGAAAGACCCATTCTAAGGAAAACCACTCGCATTAGGCTTTGAAGGAAACGGGGTACGGGGGGTTGCGTGGTCCAAACCTCAAAGACTATGTACTGATCCTGCTGCTCTTGATCGTTGAGCGGGTACATATCATTGCAGGGGATCGGCAGATCGCTCTGAATGATGAACTCCTCCTGGAAGTGTCGTCTTGCCACCGTGCCATCGTCCAGGGTCACGTTCAAGTAGGGGTTCAGTCGGGTCAGATCCACCTCGATGCTGCCACTGCACTGCCCATTGGCCATTAACTTAGAGTGGTGGCAGCAGAGTCGGAGACACGGACGCAGCTGGCAGACGCAGCCTCGCAGATGTCTCTCCACCGGCTCCGTGCTGTCGTCCGGCAGTACCCTGTAGTCAAATTCAGCCGTAAGCTCGGCCGGAATGACCACACCCTGGTACAGATACGAACCATTGACCAGCCGCTGGCTCCCCGTCACGTTCACCGTGTCGAAGTAGTCACAGTCTGGAATGGTCTCGTTCTCAGTAGCAGCAAGAGTCGCTGTATTAAGCAGAGTGACACAAACAGCGCTCAATATCAGTAGCATTCTACTCTACAGAATCTGCGAGTGGAAAAAGAAAAGAGAAGATGTAGAGAATAATATACATATGTTTGTACATAATGCATGTACAGCAGCCAGAAAGATACCTCAAATGCTTGGTATACACAGGATGGTATCTCTTGCTACAATATTTGCTGGGTTTTATTTTTCGAATGAATTAAGTCTAGACCTCTGATCATCTTTGCTCACTTTGCATTCGGGATCGATTCGGATCAATACGAAATCTTACTTGCTGTAAGTATTTTGTGCAGTCCAGGAGATGCGTCTATTCGCTGTTTCGATGAACTCCAGACTGAAATGAGTAGAGCGAAGCGTTATAAGTAAAGTGCTTTTGCATGCGATGGGGTACATGCGTATGTATGCATTGTTTTCATGATCTTTTAACCAATTAATACCATTATCCATACAGCGTGAATCATTGTTAAAACAAGGTTATCGGGGCATTCCGCCTTCGTCTTTTGTTGTTGTTAAAATAATTAATATTATTATAGTCATAATATTATATTTTTTTTACCCGTTCCCATTTTGTTCCGAAAAAAAAAAAATATTTTTAATTTTTAATATGTAATGAATCTAATATGAATATGAATATTGAAAGTATATATGTATGTATTATGTCCCACAATTTAAGTTTTTTTGCATCAATTTTTTCCAATCTTGCCTTCCGTTCCTGCCCATATTGGGAATATTTTTGAGTTGTGTGGTCGAAATCCTGAACCTCAAGCGCAAACAAAATAAAAATGGATTACAAATTGCGTATTACACAAGGTAAAGACCTCTTACACACTTTTTGGAGTCTGATCCACGCCAGGAGAAAAAATCCGCCACATTCGCCGATAATTCGGTTTAACCTCAAAATCTCCAGTAGCTCTTTGAACATGTCGAGCCTCTCCGATATACATATGATTTTCTTGTATACGACTTTTTATTGGTTTTATTAATAATTTACTTACCTATTAGTAGAAATTTCTATTAAATGTGTGAAATATTGTATTTGCTCTGCACAATTCGACGAAAACAGTAGAAATGCCGGCGCGAGGAACGCTCGGTTCATATATTCATGTAGCATGGCTATGGACCGGCAGCGCACTTTCCTATTTCCACTTTCCTCTCATTTGCGAGAGTTTTGCGAAACTCTCGCATAAGGCACGTTTGTTGGCTTGCTGGGTAACATTTATAAAAAAAAGAATATCGCGTATACCAATAAAACGAAGACGGACGTTTTGAGTCTGTTGGGTCCCCTGAACGACAAAGAATGCTTATGTATATGTATTAGGAAGCCCGACAATGGAAAATACAGTTGTTGTCGTTGTACGGGAATTGCCGGCGGATAAAGGGTGATTCAGTTTCCGACATTTATTCAGACTTTTGATTAATTATAAACGGACGATGTTATTTTTCGATCCATTACATATATGTATATCCTCTGAGAACTAGGCGTCAAACAAGACGAACCAACGTCCGTCTCATACGTCTCAACGTCCAACCCTTTACTCATATAAATGGTTTATATTAAATTTTTTCACTTACTTTGTGTACTTTTTACATTTATTTATAGTTTTTTTTATTATTTTAAAATTCTTTACATCATTTAAATTGAAAGATAATTGAATGTTTTTTTTTTTTGCTCCAATGAGTTGGAGAAACCTTTATAACGAAACGCCTCCCTAAATGCAAAAATACAGTGCCACAGTGCCGCCGTATCAATTAAAGATTTACACATACTGTATGTACAAAGACCGCTGCAACGTACGCGAATATAGGGCGTTGAACCAATCTGCCATATACTTCCCGTAGTATAGGACTACAAAGCACAAAGGGAAATTATTTTCCTGCTCCAATGGAACGCGTCCGGGTTGACGGTTGGGTCAGAACTGAATGCTAAAGCCTGATCGCGTTATGCCCCTTACTGAGCGCTTGACTTCATTTTGAACTGGGTTCCCTCTGTAACTCTTCAAGTTTATTCCTTGCAAACTTGTTTCTGCAATGCGTACATACATACGTACATACATATGTATACACGAGATATACGTACACTACTGGGCAAGATAATAAGTACACGCTTATGAGCTTTTTTCACGTCCATACTACTTTTCTAATAAAAATAATTCAAAAATCAAATTTTAGTTTACTAACCTAAAATAGACTTTACAAATATTTATCATAAGCATTTTTCATTTCAAATATATATTTTATGATCGTTCAAACCTTAAAAACATAAACAAGGGCTGGCCAAATTAATAAGTACAGCAATTCTACAAAGCCAAAAACTAAAAGCGTGCAACAATTTTTTCACTTTTTTCTTTTAATCTATAATCTTTTACTAGTATCCTATATAGCCACACTTATTTTGGATGACTTCTTGGCATACCAGCAATAAGTTTGCGGCGAGTCTCCACTGGAATCTCATACCAAGTTTTATGCACAAATTCTCTATAATTCTGTTTCTTTTCGAAAAGTATTTTTACCTATTCGACGTTTCATGTCAACCCAAAGGTTTTCAAATGGGTTTAAGTCAGGAGACTGACTTAGCCAAGCCATAACGTTTACATTTTTTCCCGTAAACCAAGCCTTGACCAGCTGTGAGGTGTGCTTTGGGTCATTTTCTCAAGAGCATGTTTTGCTCAGCATAAGGTTGCATAAAGAATGTTCCCCACTTTAATTTTTGATTTAAATATTTGGCAAGACTGTAACCTTTCTAAATAGAAACAATTGGCATCCATACGTTTACAAAAATTCGAGCTATTCCATAACAAACTAGCACGACACCGATGTACTTATTTTTTTGGCCCGTAGTGTATGTATGTATGTACGAGGCGGAAAGGGAAGGCTGTCGCCCTGACCAGAAGCCCTGGTCACAGGGCTGATATGCAAAATACAATTAAAAACATTGCCATAGTAAGTCCCAGCTTCGACGCGTTTGCACACGTTGCACTTTTATTGGCCCATAGAAAAGCAAGCGCTTTCATTTACCCACCAACTTCAATTTGATATGTTCAGAAGCAAAACACTCTATCCCTGGATACGAAGTAATTTGAAAGCGGCAAAGAACCTTCATATCGTAAGGGAAACACACAAAATTATAATTTGTAAATAACGCTGAAGTCTTTATACCTTTTACAACATGCTGCATCGTGGTTAAATTGTTAAAGCTTCATATAGATAAGACCAGAAAAGAGAACCTTAACCATGCTAGAGATCTAATCAATAAGTTTAAGTAGTTAACCGACACCAAAGTACAACAAAAAGTACCTAAAACGGTTGCGTCTTTTCGAGTGAAAATGATCACAATCAACATCGGTCCAAAGAAGTATAACATGGCTGACCAGTCTTGAGCTACATGAGGTACAAAACACTGTGAATCATCTGAACCCCAGACCAATAGCGAACCCACTCTTTATCCAACAGTTGTAGAAGCCAACACCAGGCATCCAGGGCTCATTCTCAGGAATATCCTCCACAAGGTGATCCACCATATAAATGACGGCAGTGAGGACGGATGCCATTCCCCAGGCATAGACGTTGTACATAAGGAACACGTACTTCGGCCGGTACCGACTCACGGGGCTCACACTACATCTGAACGTGGAATGAAGATTCCAGCTGAAGACACTCAGCCACAGGAAATTGGCCATCACGAAATTTTCGTTGCACTGTCGTATGTTCGAAGGAAAGATCCATTCTAAGGAAAACCACTCGCATTAGGCTTTGCGGGAAACGGGGTACGGGGGGTTGCGTGGTCCAAACCTAAAAGACTATGTACTGATCCTACTCCTCTTGATCGTTGAGCGGGTACATATCATTGCAGGGGATCGGCAGATCGCTCTGAATGATGAACTCCTCCTGGAAGTGTCGTCTTGCCACCGTGCCATCGTCCAGGGTTACGTTCAAGTAGGGGTTCAGTTGGGTCAGATCCACCTCGATGCTGCCACTGCACTGCCCATTGGCCATTAACTGAGAGTGGTGGCAGCAGAGCCGGAAGCTCGGCCGGAATGACCACACCCTGGTAGAGATACGAACCATTGACCAGCCGCTGGCTCCCCGTCACGTTCATCGTGTCGAAGTAGTCACAGTATAGAATGGTCTCGTTCTCTGTAGCATTCTTCTCTAGAGAATCTGCGAGTGCAAAAAGAAAAGAGAAGATGTAGAGAATAATATACATATGTTTGTACATAATGCATGTAAAACAGCCAGAAAGATACCTCAAATATTTGGTACACACAGGATGGTATCTCTTGTTTTGCTACAATATTTGCTGGGTTTTATTTTTCGATCATCTTTGCTCACTTTGCATTCGGGATCGACTCGGATCAATACGAAATCTTACTTGCTGCAGAGCTATCAGTATTTTGTGCAGTCCAGGAGATGCGTCTATTCGCTTGTTCGATGAACTCCAGACGAGTACAGCGAAGTGTTATAAGTAAAGTGGATGGATAAATGGATAAATGTGGATAAAATAATCCTTTTTTATACCCGATATTAAAAATGAGTGTGTGGTTTGTGGTGAACGTGGATGTGGATGCATTGTTTTCATGCTCTTTTAACGAATTTATCCCATGTGAAGCATTATCCATACATCGTGAATCATAGTTAAAACAGGGCTATCGGGGCATCCAGCCTTCGTCTGTTGTTGCTGTTTCTATATATGTACATATAAAATAATTAATATTATAGCGAATTAATATTATCCGCTGAAATTTCAACGTAAATATACATATGTATATATGTATGTACATACATGCATGCACCGATAACAAACGAGGGGGAACGTGGTGAGTTGCTGCAGCGACCGCAACTCTACATTTATACCCGATACATAGTCAATATGGTTCCCCTCCGACAGAGGGCTCACATAATGCAGAGGCAAAAAATGAGTAAGCGACGTGGCCACGCCAAGTATGATCCGATCTGATTCAGATATGGTTTTCTTGTCTCTTGTCTCTTGTCTATTGTGGATGCCACAAAGAGGAAGAGGACGTGGCAAAATTTTGAAAAAGAGCTTGGTTCACTTCTGTGAGTGATATCACTCGAGTCTGGATACAAAATTTCGTTGCTCTGGCTCTTATAGTCTCTGAGAACTAGGCGTCAAACAAGACGGACGAACGGACAAACAGAACTGGCTCAATCGACTGGGCTATTGAAGATGATCAAGAATAAATATACTTTATGGGCTCCGAAACTCTTCCTTCTGGGTGTTACACAAATACATTTTATGCTCAGATCTAATATAACCCTTTACTCATATAAATGGTTTATATTACATTTGTTCACTTACGTTTTTTACTTTTTACATTTACTTATAATTTGTGTTTTTATTTTAAAATTCTTTATATTATTTAAATTGAAAGATAATTTAATGTTTGTAGAAAGCTCACTGCAGCCGACGCGACTATAGGGCGTTGAACCAATCTTTAATTCAAGTATATGTAGCTCGTATGCTGTATGCTCGTGCGATGCGGGGAAAAGGTTTTTTTTTAAATAAAACTTTTCCACTCCAAATATATTCTTATCAATATATTCCTTGTTGTCGGTGGCCATGGTACAATGATCGTACCAGCCAGGAAATTGAGGAGCTCCAAGCGCATCCCGTTGCCCTTACCAGTGGGACCGCGGATTTATCGATAAAATATACCGTCCGACCCTCAGAAATATACCGCCTCATTTTCAAAATATACCGTAAATATACCGTCGGCTCATTTTGGACCCCCAAAAATACCTAAAAGTATCAAAAATACCGTAAACGGTAACCCTTGCCCTTGAACAAAAATTAAAAATTTAATGCTTTCTTAATCAACAAATACCTTAACGCGTAATAAATATCGATAGAATTGATGTATGGACAGAGAACTTTAACCCATTGTCGACTAGTACGTATGTAAATACACACGAATATTAAGAAAAAATTGAATTTGTGCGCAGTGCAGGTGAAAGATATCGTGGAAATCTTGTTTGTAGGGGAAGAGGAAGGGTGAACCTACTAGGAGAACAAAATAATTGTTTTAAACGGCTTAACTCAAGTTGATAACATGTTTGAATAGAGGGTTGTTTAGTGGGTTAACTTCGTTTTTATCATTGGTATATTTACGGTATATATTGAAAATGAAAAGGTATATTTCTGAGGGTCAGACGGCATATTTTATTAATAAATCGGCAGTCACACTGATTAACCTAGTTGAGTTCGTTTCGGTTTGGTTTTCGTTTTTTGTCCGTTTTGAACCAAAAAAAAAAAGTAATTAAACAAATGCAATAATATTTTTTATTTGTGATTAGAAACAGTGTATTTTTGTTTGTTGTTTTTTTTTTATTACATGTTCACGCCGCTGGTGTGTATGTATGAGAGTGCGTTGGTGTTCTGTGTTGTGACCCTCGTCCCTTTCGCTGGTCGGTTTTGTGTAAAACATTTAACATTTTGTTTAAAAAAAAGGGAAATAATCACATGTAGATGCATGTTCTTGCATGCATCTGTTCATGGGTATAAATATATTCTTGTTGGTGAGAATTCAAGTGCAGCATAAACGCAGACACGAGACCCAGAACGATGAGGAGTTTTAGAGAGTGGGGGGTTTAAAAGTAAGAGACATCTTGTTGTTGTTTCTGCTTGTGTTGCTGGCTTATCTTTCGCCGCAGGCGGCTGCAGCAGGCAGCAGCATGTCTCTGCCCTTGTCTCCCCTTTCTGATAATTATTATTATAATTCCCTCTTCCTTTTGCACTCGCAAACGCATGCACACACACACTGTTGCAGGTCCCGCATATGCCGCCTACTCAGCGCAGCATCTTCCTGATTTGTGTGAGGGAGCAAGACAGAACGCAGAGTACATTAAAAGGCAGGTAAGGTAGTCCTAGGGAGCGTGGCTTCCGGCAAAGCAACCTATTGTAGTTGCGCGACAGAAAAGATGACTAATTACTATGCTACCCGGAGAAGTACCTTACCGGCCTTACCTTCTCTTGAATCTACATCCCACCAACACACGCATGGAGAAGAGCCTCAGCATAAGCAACAGAACGCAGTGCAATGAGGGAAGCGGCAAAAGGCCGCTGATCCGAGTGAGATGCCATGTGATGTGATGTGATGGTTCTCCCCCTTTCTTGTGTTCTGTCTTGTGCAATTAATCATTTATTGTGTGTTTACACATTCTTCAATTAGTGGCAGCCTCTAAGCCGCTCCCCTTCTGTAAGCCCCCCTTCTTTCTCTCGCTCTCTCTCTCACTAAGCACAACCGAAAGAGGAAAAGTAAAAGGAGTGCGAAGAATTAGAATAGCGTAAAGAGGTAGAAAGAGCGCAATCAGCTGCGAGCATGCACTGAGAGAAACTACTATGTATGGTATGATTGAAAGTGGAGGGAGGAGGCAATCAGCACAGAGAAATTAGTGTGAATTCTAGGTAAAAAGTGATTACGTTTATGTAAAATACGAGCTATCGTGTATACGAGTGTAAGTGTCGCCCGGGGCTGGGTCTGCGTCCGGATCCGTGCCTGTGCCTGGGACTACGAACGGGGGGCTGTGTGTGTGTGTGTTGCATGTGAAATATGAACACGAAAATAGCATAAGAAGAATGTTGAATGTTGAACAAACACACACGGGGTGTGCGCTGCGCACTTTCGATGGCAGCGACGGCCGGGGGCAGAAGCAATAAAAATTAAAAGGCAAACAACGATAAGCGGCCCCTCGGACTAAGCCCGTGGCCCCACACCCTTTTTTGCCTTCCATCCTAATATACGATGTGCACACATGGCAACCCTGACGCATAGCAGTACAAGAAAAACCAAACAAATGCATATATAGACGATAATTAATGCCGTTCCAATGTAATTGATGCGTCCCTGGCACGAGAGAAAATCAATCGAAAGAGCCCGTAATCCCCCTTTAGCTATCTATTCGCCGGCAGGGGCCAGAAGACCTAATGAAATTGTTCAATTTTAAAAGTAATTTCAGGGTTGTGCCACTACGCCACTGCTCCACTCCATTTCCCCATTTCCTCCTTCCCTCCGTCTCTCCTGGACCTCAGGACCACCTGGTCTGGAAGGGAATTCAATTTTGCTCTAATTTGACTTTGATGGGGGCTGCCGTTGCCAGGACAGGCCAGCGCTGAAAGCTTCTCCCTCCCCCCCTTCGAATAGACGGAAGATTGTAATTGAAATTGAGTGACATCTGCTGGTTGTCCTCCGGTACCCTTGGTGGGGGACACTCCCTCCTCCGCTTCTATGTTGCTTGCGGCTATCTTGCGGCTTTGCCGCGTCTCATATTTCGTTTCCTTAGAAGTTCAACGGCAGTCTGCGGTTTCCATTACCTCACCATCGATGAGGATGGGGATGGGGATGGGGATGGGCTTTGTGCCCATTGCCCTTGTCAACCAGCGAGATGAGTGTTGTTGTGCTTCGGGAGGGGATTGAGTAACCACGAGAGATAAGCCCTCAAAGGCGAAGCTTCAATCTCAAGTACTGCTGGAAAAGTGGTGGCTTGGCTAGATCTCGACTGGTTTGACCCGCGAGAGCTTTCCGTTGCGGCGGACAAAGAAAGAGAGAAGCGGAAGCTGCCCTCAATGAGAGCAGAATCAATGAATCCCAGTGCGGCAGAGTGACAGAGACAGACAGAAAGCAAGAGGAAGAGCAAGCGAAAGCAACATAAAACACACACATGCCCACACTCGCAAACAAAAGCCCTCGTACGTGTGCAAATATTTGCATGAATGATAATTTGAAGCCGAAAGTCGGTCAACGAACCGAAAGAGTCTTCCCCCACCACCCCCCTCCTCGTCGAAACAATGCATCCATAATCCCCCTGCCGCCAGAGCTCCCCTCTCTAGGTGTTGTCCATTTCGATTTCAGTTTCATAATGAAACCAAAAACGTAACTGAGAAGCGAGTGCTAGGTGGACGGACGGACTGACTGACTAACTGACAGTTCCCCTCCTCCCCCAATCGGACAGACAACCTGCACTGGCCATAAATAGAGGCTACAGTCCGACCACAATGGTTGATCGCGACGGCCTGGTCTGGTCTGGTGTGGCCCGGCCTGGCCTGGCCTGGTCCGGCCTATGGCTTCCGCACAAATATGGCACACAGCACCCACCGTTTGGCGGCAGTTGTTGTACGAATTCGAATACGAGTACAAGGTACGTTCCCGCGGGTCTGTCTGCCTGCTTGCCCCGTGTGGCTCACGTCTCCCGTCTCCCGTGGGCGTCACAGAATGACGCAACCTTTCATTTGTTTATTATAATAATAATCATATTTGTTGTACTTTTGCCAACCTGTTGACAGCCAAAAGAACTTATATTATATTATCGACCCCTGGGTGCTTCTATACCCCATTGCCCCCCCATTCGATGCCCTCTTCTCCGTAATGGAATGGTGATTATGTGTGCAGCGTGTGATGCCTTATGTGTGCCTTAAAAAATTTGCATGGCGGCATGTTTGCCCTAATGATTGCTACTGATAATGTGTCGGGGATCGGAGATAATGGCTCCAAATGGGCGAAAGAATGAGATAGAGATAAAGAAAGCCGCCTTGTGCTAGGATTTTAAGCCACATTTATTTATTGCCCATTTGTGATTCAGTTGTGGTTCAGTGCTTTGTGCCACGATATAAATTATACCCATGTCAATGATAAAGCCCACACTTTTCGACTGGTTCTAGTTCTAGGTTGTAGTTCTGCCTCTGCGTTTGCCCCTCATTCCCCCATCAGAATACCATATCCACGCCATCTAGTATTGACTCGAAAACAGCCCCGGAAGCAGTGTGTTTTTATAGAACAGACTACAAAAATATCGTATCTATTGATGGGAGGAATCCATCACGTCAAGACATTTCTTAGTTCTTGAGAACAAAGGATCGCAAATGTACAGTGAAGACTCTCTACTGAGCGGACACTTGTATGTATTCCCATATATTTAGAACGATTCGTAATTTGGCGGAGGGGCAAGAGAGGGAGGCTTACTGCTGTCCCGTCCGTCCTATCCCTCCGTTCGATCCCTGGACAGAGACCTAGAGAACTGACTCAAGGGAACGCTCGGCAGTTAACCACTTGGCGATAATTACCAGGCAACAACACCATAGAGAAGGCTATAAGGTGGAGAAGGGGGAACAAAGCTCTGTTTCCGATTTCTTTTTCCGTCATTTATCATTCGCGTCGGAGTACCCGCCCCAGAGAGAAGCACAACAAAAGCAGCAGCAGCAGCACCAGCAGCGTGCATTTAACCCAGTTAACAGAAAATACACAACAGAACCGAACCGAAGAGAACAGAAGAAGGTTAAAAGGTAAAAAGACGAAGACGAAGACAAACATAGCTACAATTCCATTGCTATATTCTACTATGGTAGACAGTATATTCGTATCTGTGGGTATTTTTGTAGCATTTAAGCCAATTACATGGTACATCAATCATTTGCAAAGACGGATTTTCAGCCAGAGTGTTTCTCTGTCCAGCCAGCAATGAATGTACCCCCCTCCACCCCATGTATCTGTATCTATGTACGGAGCTATGTTAGTTGTGTGTTGCGGTGCCTTATCTACGCGTTTGACAACAGTTATTCTTGGCCTGCTTACGACCCTCGAGTAAAAGCTGGAAGTGGAAAGGCACTCATAGGAAACGGTTGGTGGCAGGGAAGCGGACTGGCTGTTCTTCAAGAAACAATGAAGAATTAGTCACCCGTGCACTTGTCGCAAGTGTAAAGTGTCGTCTGTTCTACGTGGAAGTATGCCAGAGAGTGAGAGAGAGAACGAGAAAGAGAGAGAGAGGGAGAGGGAGAGCAGCGAAGATGGAGCTCTGGTTGGGGGCTTTGATTGTTGGTGACAGTAAAACAAACAAACAAAAGTATAGAGAAACGGAAGCAACTCGACAACTGTATGCCTTCATCAACTAAATTTCCTTCTCTTTTGTATCTCCCTGTCTTTGCAGAACACACGAACAACACCAACAACACCAGCAACAACCATCCAACAGTCAATCAGAGATCCATCCAAAAATAGAGCAGCAGGAAAAGGGAGGAGAGGAGAAGAGAGGAGCTTACTAAAAACAAACAAGCAAACAAACAAACAAACAGAAACATTCTTGCCAATTTATCGAATAAACAAGAAGCCGAGCCAGGAGAGGAACCCCAACAACAGCCACTGCCATAAGGATTCTCTCCCCTTCAATCAAAGCGCCATCCAAGCATTAGAAAAGAGACGTCAGTGATTCAGCAACCGGCAATCGGCGTAAACTAGCAACCTAAACCCCGGAGGACAGCATGGACGTGGTCGGACATGTTTGAGCGCTTCCGTTTGAGCAATTTGAGCAGGAACTTTCGTCTACGCGGAGGCAGCAGCGAACTGGCGCGCGACAAGAAGAACCAACAGCAACGGCAGCAATGCGTCACAGTCCTGTTCCTAGATGACATCACGCACACCTTTCGGCTCGAGGTGAGGCCATGTTTCAGGCGGCTCCAGGCCATCGCCATCGCCACCCCCATCCCCATCCCCATCCCCACCCACTATTCAGGGGATTCATTCGCTATGCGCATAATTATTAGCAAACACAAAGAAAGTTTTCTGTAATCATCATTCATTGGTTATTCATTTTTGTCGGTTTCATTTTTGGCATCTGCACTTGAGACGAGACTCACTTTCATTGTGTGGCAAGCACCTCACATCTCCATCTCCATCCCCGAGATCTTTCATTCCCCATGCGCCATCTCCCCTCAGATATAGACACGCACTTGTCCGCATCGTTTTCGCATCTCCATTCCGAGGTTTTCGTTTTCTCTTTCTCCAGTTGATGGTCTTTGGCGGCTAAAGACGCAAAATGAAGCCCCAAATGAAATCTGTCTATCAAATTGCAGCTAAATTCCAGTCATTTAATCACTGTAATTGTCTCTGAAAGACAATTAAAGTGGCTTCCACTTCCAGAGAAACCCATGCCACACTCTACTGTACACTTTCTTCCTTTTTAGAAACGTGCGAAAGGCTCTGAACTATTGGATCAGGTCTTTCAATATCTCGAGTTATCCGAAAGGGACTACTTTGGTCTATTATTTCCACAGAAGCCAGGGGATGTTGTGGTATGTATGAGACATGGAGTACACAGTACCCGTCTGTGTCTAAATATTCATTTAAATCTGAACTGTTCTTCACCTTGCAGAGATGGGTGGATGCCCAGAAGCAGTTCAAGAAACAATGCAGCAGCGTCTCGCTCGACAACGATGCCGTTCCATTATTAGAGTTTAGAGTTAAGGTAAGAGCCTGAGCCTGAGCCTGGGCCTCCTGATGATCCTGATGATCTCCAGAGTAGAGGTTACTACTATGCTATGCTACTCACTCCCTTTGCAGTTCTTTGTAAGCGATCCCAGCCGCTTGCAGGAGGAGTTCACACGCTACCAGTTCTATCTGCAGATCAAGCGAAACATTCTGCTGGGGAAGCTGCCATGCTCCAGCAACACCCAGTGCCTGCTTGCCAGCTACACGGTGCAGTGTGAGTGTGCCTGTGCCTGTGCCTTTACTCTATGCTCACTAAGATGTCCCCCATTCTGATCCTTCTTTTCCATTTCCATTTCCATATACATTTCTTTAGCGGAGCTGGGCGACTTCAATGCGGCAGAACATCAGGTGGGATACTTGAGTGGCCTTCAGCTGCTCTCGGAGCAGACACCAGAGGCAGAGCGGAAGGTGAGCGAGCTGCACAAGCTGCACCGGGGCCAGCTGCCAGCGGATGCCGAGTACAACTATCTGGAGCATGGCAAGCGGCTGGAGCTGTACGGGATTGATCTGCACAAGGCCACCGATTCGAGCGGCAAGGATCTGCAGCTGGGCGTGTCGGCTGTCGGGCTGCTGGTCTTCCAGCATGCGCTGCGGGTGAACACCTTCTCGTGGAGCAAGATGGTGAAGGTGTCCTTCAAGCGCAAGGACTTCTTCATTCAGCTGCGTCGTGAGCCAAGCGAGAACTACGACACGCTGCTGGGCTTCGGCATGATCAGCCACAAGCACGCCAAGGCCTTGTGGAAGTCGTGCGTGGAGCATCACAGCTTCTTCCGGCTGAAGCGGCCGCACCGCCTCTCGCGCTTCCTCAACATCAGCCTCGGCAGCAAGTTCTACTACTCGGGCCGCACGGAGCTCCAGGCGGTGCAGGAGTCAAAGCAGCGCGGCCGCATACACAAGGTATTTGTGCGGTCGCCCAGCAAAAGGCTGCTGGCCGGAGGAGGCGGCGGAGGGGCTGGTGCCACAAGCTCCTCGGGTGGCACCCCTCTCTTGCACAGCGGCGGCAGCGGTGGCTCCGAGAGCGCTGCCTCGCAGCACAATGGCAAACCGTCCGCATCCACCATTCTGACCATCACGAAGACGAGCCGTCCCCATGACAACAAGGTCACCTCCAAGGAGGCCGACTCCATGCCGCGCAAGGCTTGGGAGCAGCAGAGCGACGAATACGACATTCAGCTGTGAGTCCAGTGACCTTCGATCACGCCTGCAGGTCGGATTCTAACTTGTATCTTTTGTCTCTGCAGCGATGTTGGATTCATTGAGCAGTGCAGCCGACGCTTCGAGTCGCCGTCACCCATGCCGCCCGCCTACAGCTCGGGCCAGCACAGTCCCCTGCTGCTGCCCACCACCATTGCGGATGCAGTGGGGAGCCAGCCCGACAGCGGCAGCGATCTGATAACGATCCGCCTGCAGGCGGACGACCAGGGTCGCTACGGCTTCAATGTGAAGGGAGGCGTGGATCTCAGCCTGCCCGTGCAGGTGTCCAAGGTGGTGCCGCACACGCCCGCGGATCGCTGCACGCCACGTGTCTGCGAGGGCGACGAGGTGCTCATGATCAACGGCCGCGATGTCCACGGACTGCGACACGAGCAGGTGGTGTCCATGATCCGTGATTGCCGGCACCAGTCCAGCGGCGAGCTTTTGCTCACGGTGCGGCCCCAGCGCTCGGCTCCGCTGCTAATGGAGGAAGAGCCGCTGTACCAGTATGTGCCGGAGAGCGATGAGATCGGCTCGCACTCGAACCTGCTCGACGGCGACGCCCTGTTTACCCAGAGTCTGTTGCTGCTCAGCGATGGCCTGGCCTCTGGCGCCCTGCTCGCCCAGTACGAGGTGATGTACCGCAAGAATCCCGATCTGGCCATCACCGAAGCGCGCAAGGCGGCCAACGCGGCTAAGAATCGATACCGAGACATATCGCCATGTAAGCAGGAGCCTCCTCCAATCCCTTGTAGACCCATTTCTAATTGAATCCCCCATTCCAGACGACTGTACGAGAGTGTCGCTGGTGAACTCCCTGACCGGCGATTACATCAACGCCAACTACGTGAACATGGAGATACCGGGAGGAGCGGTCAACCGATATATTGCCACCCAGGGACCTCTGGCCAGCACCACAACGGACTTCTGGCGCATGGTGCAGCAGGAGAGCAGCCACCTGCTGGTGATGCTCACGACGGTGATGGAGGCGGGGCGCCAGAAGTGCCACCAGTACTGGCCCGTCACCGGCGAGGAGCTGCAGCTGGCCGACGGCTTCTCGGTGCGATGCCTCAGCGAGAAACCGGACGAGACGGGCAGCTTCGTCTTCCGCGAGTTTGTGCTTAAGGACAAGCACGAGCAGCGGCACATACATCACATGCAGTACCTGGCCTGGCCGGACCACTGTGTTCCCTCCGACCCCAATCTCTTCCTGGAGTTCACCGAAAGAGTGCGCGCCGCAAGGAACCGCACGCTGCTGCAGGAGATCGAAGAGAGCCTCAAGCAGGTGCGACTAATGGACGCAGATGCCGGCGACGACGAGAACGGAGGACTGATGAGGGAGCGTAAGTGTGCGGCCAGCAATGGAGCCACGCCAGAGGACGAGACCCCCGTCTCCACCAGTGTGCATCAGTGAGTAATCCTGTCGTTAGATGATTCCCAGAAAACTAATGCTTGTTTGCAGGTGCATCAGTGCCGCCAATCCTCCTGTGATTGTCCACTGCTCAGCGGGCATCGGACGCACTGGTGTGCTCATACTGATGGACACGGCGCTGGCCCTGATGGAGTCCCGTGAGCCCGTCTATCCCCTGGACATTGTGCGCACCATGCGCGACCAGCGCGCCTGCATGGTCCAGAATGTGGTAAGTGTATCCATAGACTGTCTCTCCTCCCAATCGAATAATAATGTGATTGCCGTGATTCCATTCCAGAGTCAATATCGATTCGTGTGCGAATGCATTTGCGCCGCGTATATGAAGATGTCGCGCAGCAGCGCGGCTATCCATGACGATGATGACTAGGGAAGTGCACTGCATCCCCGCAGAGTTGGAGTTGGACAATCTATCTATTTACTCAATCTACAATCTTCCGCTTAACATGCCCCGACTTCTTCTTTACTCTATACAACACACCCTACACCTAAATCTATCTTACTGTTAGTACCCGTAGACATATGATTAAAACTGATTGTATATCATTATTATTACCGACTCGATCGCGTCTCTATATATTGTATTATCCACTGCGAACATCCGTACATCGGTACATAAGATATCCAAAACGTATATGTATATGTATATCCCTCTCTACCACATGCCGCATGGATGCATGACGCATGGAAAACGATTCTAAATTTTACAAAACAACCACAAGATGGTGAACGAAGTGAACCAACTACCTATCGACGTATACAAACAAAGCGATATAGATGGCAAATTTATTTACACTCAACGCTACCGCAACACACGATTGCTGAACGAGAACAATACTACGCAAACCAGGAACAGAAACAGATAGAATATATACAAAAGATATACATATGTATATGATTGACAAAAAAAAGAGAAGAAAACTGTTAGTATTTTAGCACCAAATCAATTCGTAAATGTATTTATGGTAAAAAATTAAATAAAATATGTAATTCAAAAAATTTCTTGTATCATCGTTCAATCCCATCCGATTTGATCGAGGAGATCTTTCCGAGAACGGAGATATAGCGATTTAACTAAAAATCGATTACACACCCGCAATCAAAAGGCAGTATCCATAGTTTCACAGAATCCAGGACATTTTCCTGATTGCGCGATGATACGTATCGTGTCCTGATGACGGAGTTACGAGGATGGTTCGATGCATCGTGATTTAATTATTTGCAATGCCAAAAATAAGTAAAATAAATGCCAGATAAATGTGATATGATGTCCTTTTTCCGATGCCAGTTGGTTGGCAGGACTCTCCCGATCACAAAAAGGCATGCCACGCCCCGATCCGCCCATAAATAGTCGTGATATGGCGTACAGAAAAAACCAGTATTTTGATTACATGCAAATCCCAATCTTCGGAAGGCAATATCTCAGCTAAACAGGGCCAGATCGGCGAAGGACCTACCTTCCCAGGATCGTGGGGAGCCATCCTGTCGGTTGGCATCAAAATCTCGACCTCGAAAATGAGGCCGATTTTTGACAAATTCAATGATGTAACCATCATGATTTTTGGCGAAAATCGTGAGGACACGGATGTCCTTTTTTCTGATACCAATCGGTTGGCAGGACTCTCCCGATCACAAAAAGGCATGCCGCGCCCAGATCGGCCCATAAATAGCCGAGATATAGCCAAAGAAAAAATGCTAATTTAATCGGACGTCAAACGACGAAAACGAGGAAATTTCAGACCGAGGTACCAAGCCAACAGAAAATGCTAGAAAGCAACTGAGCTTTTGTTTGCCCCCAAAAGTATGCAGCAAAAATTTATGTTGCAAAAGTTACCTTCTGCTGATTTCTGTTCGCCTGGTACCCCGGTCTGAAATTTCCTCGAATTCGACCATTTTAGTCGCCAGTCGAGGGTTGTTGTTGTACAACAATTGACACAAATTGACAACAACAACAAAATAAAAAAGGTCAGTTTTGTTTTGTTGTTTTCTCCCTTATTTGTGGGCCGATCGGGACGCGCGACGGCTTCCTGCGACGGGAAGAAAATTCTTGATTTGATGGAGTCCTTATCAAGGATCAAGGATATTATCTCCAGCCATATACATACATATATCTTGTTTTCTCCGTTATTTGTGGCCCGATTTGGCAGTGTGATGGCTTCCTGTTATAGGAAAAGTATCCGTGATCTCATAGGGTCCTTATCCAGGATCGAGGATTAAGGATATTTTCTTCAGTCATATGTATATATATTTTTTTCTGTTATTTCTCGGCCGATTTTGGTGGAACCTGTCTTCCATTGATAGGAAAAATATCCTTGATCCTTGGATAAGGACTCAAACATCTTTACACCATATCCAAATTTCGCTTTCTAGGCTATTTTTAGGCCAATATCGTTGATTCCTTTTAGTCCTTATCAAGGATCAAGGATTTATTCAATTGTAATTAATATTTAGTTATCTTCGTCATTCGTGGCCCGATCAGAGCGTGCTAAGCCTGTCTGGGATCGGGGAATATCCCCGATTTGATGGAGTCATTGTCAAGGATCAGTATCCTTCCCCAGTCAAAAATATCATGACAATCGATTGCCAAATTTGCCCGAGATATAACGCTTTCAGGTGGCGCTGTAAACCTTTGGGTTATATTTTACTCGACGCATTTCATATGTACTTTATTAATGGCAAGTAATTCTGCACTTAATCCTACAGTTTTAAACCAAATTAATCCAAACAAGATCAAGATCAAACAGGGAAAGGGCCCTCCCACCGATTTTGAGTACATTTCTAAACTAGATTCTACAAAAAAACAATGAAAAAAAATACATTAACAAAGATACAAAGGCGCAGTTCGTTTCGTTTCGGTTCGTTTCCACGTTAAGGATTCAGGATTAGCCTAGCCGTACGGAGCGTAGAGGTTGCCATGCGTTGATGTCGACTGAAAGTGCACCAAGTTGCCATGCGTTTGTACCGGTGGCTGGTAGTAGGCCGCCTGATGGTATAGCGCTGGATGGGCATGCTCGTTGACCTGGATCTGATGGTAGTTAGTTATCGGTTCGTGCTCCACTACTTCGCGAACCGTCTGGAACGGATGGTTGACCACAATCCGACGCTTATGGAAGGTTTCGCTGGTGGCTGCCGCATCGGTCGGCGCGGCCGTGGCGGCGATCACGCGTTCGTTCGGCTTCAGATGTCCGGCGCCGCCGTTGAGGGAGACATCCACATCCTGAGGTTGGGCCTGGACGGGCGTGGGTGTGGCCTTTGTGGCAGACACATCGCCAGCTGCTGGAACTTCCACAAGACGTTGCGACTGCTGCTGTCGTTGCTGGAGACGTGCCGATGGCTGCTGCTGTTGCTGCTGGCCCCTGTCGCAGTCCGGTGTAACGGTGGAGGCCACCACCATGGGCTGTTTTCCCTCATTGCGATCGCCGATTTGGATTTGAATGTGTGTATCCTGGGACGCCTTTTCCTTGGGCACCTCCACCTCCTTGGGTGGTGCCTCTACCAGCCTGGCCGACTGATTCTCGGGACTGAATCTCATTTGGGAGTAGGGGGCACTGTACTCCAGATCCTCGGCCAGGGGATTGCGTTGACGCGCCGACTGGGCATAGTAGCCCCGCTGAACGGCAGGCTTTACAGCGGCCTTGGCATAGACCACTGTACCGCCCACATGGTTACGCAGATAGGGTTTGATTTCGGCCACATGAGCGGGCACTTCGGTGATCCTCTGCTCCTTGGGCGGTGTCTGGCTGCTGCGACCCAGGTAAATGTTGTGCTGCGATGGCGGCAGGTGGATCTTGTGCTCGTGCTTGATTATCTGGGTGCGTGGCTGCTCCTGTTCGACCGGTGCCTGCTCCAATCTCGCTGGCTTCGCGTCCACATTGGCGGCATTGACGTTGGGCAGGAACTCCCCTGCGAAGTAGTCATCATTATTGTTGTAGGGCTGTCGGTTGTAGCTGGTTCTCTGCTGGTAGCTACGCTGCAGGGGACGCTCATAGTTGTTCACTTCGTTGGGCGGAATACTCCTGGAATACTCCTGCTCCGGCTCTGCACGGGTAATCATATTGGGTGTCAGGTGTTTCGTGCTGATCTTGATCGGATTGCCATTGCCATCGACGGCGGAGACCGAGGTGGATGTGGTCTGGCGACTATCGACAACATCGCCAGCGACCTGCTGTGGCTTCTGCTGCTGGAGCCGTGCCTCCACGTACTCATCCTTCGGCGCCTGATCGTACGATGGCATGGTGGTCACACTGGAGCCAACGGTGGTCGTTTGCTGATCCTTGGACGTGGCCGGGGAGTCGTAGGAGTCGTATGAGGGTCGGTACTCGTTGCCATTTCCATTGCCATTGCTGTTGCTATTGCTGTTGCTATTGCTGTTGCTGTTGTAGCTCTGGGTGTTGTAGTTCTGTCCGTTGTTGCTGTAGGCGGCAGCCACCGCGGGATGCGGGTGTCCCAGTGGCAGCAGAGTTTCCCCCTTGGGAATCTTGGCCACCGGGTGATCCAGTTCCACGACAAGCGTGCCCGCCGGCTTGATCAGCACACGCTCCTCGATGTCATAGAACTCCTTCTGGATGGCCGGATGCCGGACCTCGTACTTCTTCGCCTTGAGCGCCGGCTGCACAATCTGAATCGTTTTGGTGACCATCGGTCGCTGGGGAGGAGCGTAGCTACGTGGAGGAGCGGGCGGCAGATAGCCCGATCCGCCTGGATAGGAGGACGACTGATCGCTGTAGTCATCGTAGCCCTGGGAATCGTATCCCTGACCATCCTCCACCTCTGGCGGGTATTGGCCATGGTAGTCCACATCCTGGCCATCGTCGTAGTTGTACACATTTGGATCGTAGCTGGGTCTGTTGTAGCTCGTGGCAGGATTGTAGCTGGAGGTGGCATCGTAGCTGGAGACGGTATCTGCTGAATGCGAAGCCCCAGTAGGGACCGGAACACTGACGGAGCCGGAGGAGGCGGAGCTGCTGCTGCTAACACCAGACGTGGAGGAGTGCACTGCGGCTGCCACTGGAGCCTGGGGAGCTTCATAGATGGGTTTACTCTCAGCAGCCACCTCCACATTGGCGCTTTGTCCCTGCGAGGACGATACTGGTGCTGCCACTTGACGTTCGAACATGCGCAGCTGCTGCGATCGGGATCCCCCAATGGCCACCACCTTCTGTGGCGCACTGTCGTCACTCGCGGATGAAGTCACTCCAGAGCTGGTCTGCGTGTAGCGCTGTGGCGCAGGATTCGATGATTCATAGACCTGCAAAAGATAGCCAGATTCAGAATATTGATGCATGTTTTCATTCATTCCATTCCCCCTTGAATACTCACAGTCTCCACGGTGGGTCCGTGGCTATGGTAGGATTGGATGTACCGCTCGAACTCCTGGTTCTGGCGCAGCTGCTGATTCCGCTGACGGAATTGCCCATTGTGTGGTGCCTGCAGTTGAGGCTGCAGTTGCTGGTGAAAGCGACGACTGTGATTGCGACGACGGGGCATGCGTGCGTTCTTAGCGGCTACCGATGAGGCCTGCAGTCCCAGTCCCTGGCGAGGAGTCAACTGAGCGGATTGCTGTTGCTGCTGCTGCTGTCCCACCTGTTGCTGCTGCTGCTGTTGACCCATCTGCTGCTGCTGTTGGCCCATCTGTTGTTGCTGCGGCTGCGGTTGCGGCTGGGATCTCTCTTGAATCCTCTCAAAGCGCTCCTCCTCATTCATCATCGCGGGACCCGCTCTCAGCTCCGCTGGGGCTCGTCCATCCACATAGCTAACATCCGCTGGATTCGTGGCCGGCTGTTGGGCAATGGAGATATTCACGTGGGTGGCTGCCTCCACATAGCTCCAGCCCGCCAGCAGTAGGAGCATCAGCAGTGCCCGACACATCATGGTAAAGAGTGTTCCTGTGAGTGATCCTGGCCCCGAATATAAACCCAATTGCGAATCGATTACCGATCGCAGACCACCTCCAAAGCTGAACGCGTCTCACTGTCTGAACAATCAGTGCGTCGTGCCGCGCATATTTATACCGATTCCATACCATTCGTTGGAAATGGAAATGGACATGGGGGAGCGATCGCGATCAGTGTCAAAGTCAACTACGGCACAACTACAGGTAAACACCCTGTTTAGGGATGAGTCTCAGATGCTTGCCCCAGTTCTACAATTAAAGGCATCGCATCGCATCGCATCGCATCGCAACGCATCGGAACGTATTCATTGGCGATCGATCGATGATCGATGATGGATGATGCATTCAACAAATTGCTGTCGTCGCTTCACACTTGTGTGGCACGCTCCTCCGATTCGGACTCGGATCCGAGATCTCAAATCCGAATTTCAATCGCCAAAAACCCGCGCCACCCGTAATTGGACAGTGCCACATTTTTCCAGTAATTGTCGGAAGGTCGAAGTCAGACAAAGTCTCTTGGCGACTCATTTGAACTTGAAAACTCAACTGAGACGTTGCACTGCCGCTGCCACTGCCCCAACTGGTCTCCAGTTGGGCTTAAACGATGATCGGACTGGGTTTGGGATTGGGATTGCTGGTCAGGCACTCTTGCGCAACTTTGAAGTTGGCGACTATTTGCATTCGCAACAAAGGTAATAAAGGTAAAGGCTAATCGTGAGATAAACACCAATAAAATCAAAGTCAAATGTGTTGGGTGGGTGGCATACAAGTGAATACGGGGTTTTTTTAAATCTATTGGAGTAGCTGAACAACTCTTAATTTGATATGGTATTTATTCCCTCTGGGAAGCGGAGGCTTCAGCGCATTACAAACCGAACCCGAAGACGACAATCTGGACAGTCGAATATGGGAGTTGGTACCGTCCTTGAGATCTTTCTGATAGGACACCCATAGCAACCTTGCGATTGGTTGCTGTTCCAGACCCTTTCTGTTCCAGGAGTGCCTGGAGTACCGCTGTTCGAAAGTAGAGACCGGAGATGATGGAGAAGTGCAGTCGCTGATCAAACAAAATCATTTATAGAAATCTGGTACCTAAGAAGAGGTACCCAAGAGCAATGATGACACGGATATACTTTAAAAAGGAGCTATGTGGACTTACAAAAGAAAACATCACGGATTGATAGCTGTTAGTCCAATGAGGCTCTACTTATGCATGAAGCCAATCCTATGAAGCGAGGCCAGGAAGATCTGGGCGATGTCAGTGGATCCCCAGTCCCAGTCCAGAAGTAATACAGTTTGGCTACAAACTCCTCGATCGCATTATTCGATAAATTATGCTTTTTAATTTACTATATACTCTCAGTATCGACGTTAAAGCATAAAAACATTGATCCAATAACAAAAAAAAAAAAAAAACGGGAACGCTGTGAGGGCCGCGACTCTATATTTACACCCGATACTCGCTCCTCTCCGCCAGAAGATGCACACTGCATTATAAGAGTGTGAGAGAGAGAGAGAGAATAAGTTAGACACTGAAATTTTATTGGTCTCTTCTGGGTATAAATATGATCCGATATAATCAAGAGTCGACAATCTGGAAGCTATTGTCATTTTTTATAATTCCGCGCTTTTGGTTTTTCCGTACTTTATGGGCGAAATTTTGAAATGTACTTGCATAAGTGTGATATCACAGGAGTCTGGGTACAACATTTGGTTTCTCTAGCTCTTACAGTCTCTGACACATGGCTCTATCGACTCGGCTTTTGGTGCTATTCCAATTATGTATATCCTTTATAGGGTCGGAAACGCTTCACCCAGAAGGCTGTTACATGTATCCACTTCCATCACAAATCGAATATCCCATGCCCCTAATCTAGTACCCCCACACCCTTTGAGCCCTAACCAAATGGATACCTGATCGGATTCGAGCAAAATGTTGTACAATATTTCACAGGCATCAAACTGACAGCACAAAATTTAAATTAGTAGGTATATAAAAAAGAATTTACATATATTCGATCCCTAAAGTCGAATGTGTGTGATACAGTAAGAAAGGGAATTTTAGATGCCCAGAGGTCATTCATCCAACCAACCAATGAACAACTCCAGAGCTGGAACTGGAAATGCAGATATCTTAAGCTTCGTGGCGCTGCTGAAGAATTTTCAGCAGAGCCGTCCGTCGATCCCTCTGGTAAGTCCAAACGATGGATGGATAATGTGCCCTGCATTTCCAATGAGGAGTGTAACAAAGCGGCACAAAACTGGTGTGTACGAGCCACAAATGGCGTTTATTTATGTTTAAGTGAAAACCAAAAACCAGTAACTGGGGTAAATCGTATGCAGCATACAATATATATAGACATGCAGTACATGGGCCGATCCAGACACAAGACTAAATTGTGGTCTGTTTCGTTTATTACTTAAAGCAACGCGAAAGCTAAAAGGCGCGATTTAATGCTATAATTTAGAGGAGATCTACAATAGTTTCTCAATATCCTTGGCAATGTCCATAGGATCGGTGGTTGGGGCATAACGATTGATTGGGATTCCCTCTTTGTTGACCAGGAACTTTGTAAAGTTCCACTTGAGACCACTGCCCAAAGTGCCAGACTGTTTGGCCTTCAAGTACTTGTAGACCGGAGCAGCGTTATCGCCATTGACATCCACCTAACAGGATGACCGATCGTTAAACAACCCGCGCAGCTGTGGCAATAATCTTACCCTGGCAAAGATTTCTCCAATGTCAGCCTTGGCATCGCGCAGATGACAGACCATTGCCTCGCCGTCGGCCTCCGGCATTTGGGAGTTGAACTGATTGCAGGGGAAGTTCAAAATGGTGAGTCCACGCTCGCCGAACTTCTCCTTCAATTCGGTCAACTTCTGATAGTTGTTCTTAGTCAGTCCGCACTTGGAAGCGATATTAACTACCAGAAGTACTCGGCCCTTGTATTTGTCCAGCGACACTTCACTTCCATGGGTGTCCTTTACGGTGAACTCATAGATAGAAGCGGCGTTCTTGTAATCTCCGTTGGCAGACATGTCGATCTGGAACAAAGGGAAAATCATTGCTGATTAATGGTTTCCTTCTTTAGTGGCAGACACACCCATTATTAGATATAACAAGCAACAGAGGACTAGGGATAGTCAACGCAACAGATATTTAGTTCAGCATAGAGACAAGCATCAGAATTAGTCAACAACTACTACTACTCGTACGGGCACTACTCACGGCAGCTGCTGTGGAGTACTGGGGGGCACTGACGGCTGCCGCACAGCTGACTGGCAGGAGGACCGTGCAGAACTTTAGATTCTGCCTTTGACTCTGACTCAGTTCGATGACCGGCCCAAGGATTCTTCGACTTGTTGCGGCCCGAGTCGATAAGCACCTGAAAACCTGCTGCGAAATGGTCTGAAACTGCCTGAGACTCATACTTTAATTGCTGCAAATAACGATTGGAAAATGCCAAGTAATCAGAAATAAGTACTTTTGGGAATATGTATTGTGTAATTTATAAAGTGCAAAGTCGCGTGTCCTACGGATTTCTAACCTACACGCAGCAAGGGAGCAGTGGCTGTGTCCGTGTCCGTGTACGTGTCGGGCTTGTTAGGGTCATTCATTACGCATGCAAACGATACAGTTCTAATGTGGTTGGATGTGTTCTGGGTAATTACTTGCTTGGTCATATACATGTAGTAGGTGACGGCCAAGGCCACGGCCAAAGCTCCTAGCTCGCCAATCGAACGGCCAGCCATTGCTTTCTCTCTCTCTAAGATTTCACAAGAATCAGGAATGTATTGTATAGTGTATAGTATATGTTGGGCGAGTATATGTTGTGAGAAAAAGTCTGAATTGTGCAAGCTCACGCTGATATGCGACACAATCACTGGGGTGCAAAGTACAGCAACACAACAGGCTGACTCTTGCAGGTGTTCTTAAAAAGATTGAATTGCTCCCTTTACCGTCACGCAATTATCGAAAAGTCTGCGAAAGCTTGCTATTGTTAATAATTTTTAAATGGCTTACTTATTTCGTAATCGCGAATACTTTTGAACGTAAATAAACTGCCGGCGACTTTTTTATGATACAAAATAAATGTGACCACGGATTTTATACCTTCTGACGTTCTCATAAATATACCAAAACATACCATCTCATTTTCAATATATAAACGGTAAACGGTCACCCTGATAAACTGCCGGCTACTTTTTTATTACGTTCTGACCCTCATAAATATACCGTCTCGTTTTCAAAATATGCCGTAAATATACCAATGTACATTCTTTACTTATACACACTTCGTACCTTATGTATATTTACATATGTATATAAAACAATTAATAATTACACGATAACTACACATCTGCTACATATCAACAACTTATTTATAGAGTATTTGCATTCGTATACCCTATCTCCTGTAATTAATGCTAAAATTCTCTTTTTCCAGCTGTTTTGAAACATTAATAATGAATGACTTTTTCTCAGATTGACATGTTTTGACCTATTCTGTATGTATTCATGTAAATATTTCTATACCGATTCCTATTTTCGGTCTTTGTACGAACAGGGTTTTCTACAACATTTCTTTGAGATATTTCTAAAACATAGTCAGTGTAGACCTCAATAGGATAGTAGAGCTGTGCGCCTAATTTCGAAAGTGAATTAGTGACAACGATATAAATGCACGAAGAGCGCAATAATTAAAAAACCTGCGTATGGAAGTGTCTATATATTCTTTGAGATTTCATAAAAAATGCACTTAAAACGTGCAGTAGTGCATGAAATACAAATACGTAAAAATGCTGACATAACTTTATAGCAGAGGTCGGCAAGGTTGTGGCGCTCACGTGCAGGTGAATAACGGTGGCTGGCACGAAGGAAATGTTTTGTTGTTTTGCTTGCTTTCTACGCACACAAACACACTGCAAAACATGTAAGTGTGTGCGTGCCGATCACTGTCTTTTAGTCACGGTTCACAGTTTTAATGCAGTGGCACCTTTTCAGTTATTTTCGGCTTACCCAGAAACGGTCACACATATACATTTTCTTCTTTCTTTTGTGCGTGTGCGTGCGTGTGT